GTGAATAGATGGAGTGAACCCGTCTTGGTGTGGAGAACGTGCGTTAATAGGCATTCTGTAAGTGGCTGGAGAAGATGGTGAAAAATAGGGATTTGTTCTGTCATAGGTTTTACTTGAGGTAGAGACAGGAGGCGAGTAGCCAATGTGATGTCGTGGTAAGTGACTGTGGGGAGGAAAATTACTAGGTGGTGTTATTGATGACACATGGCTAAAGGAATTTGTAGAGGACGAGTGCCTAGAGGAACTCCCCGTCACACTGTAGCCCGTACTGTGATAAGGAGATGCTGCTGATACTGACGCACTCACCTCCCCACTTTGTCTGGATGACTGTGAAGCATCAACACCTTGAGGCACTCTGACCATATCTGTGCCACTGTTCTTTGTTGATGACTTAGTTATTAATGATCTTGATGGAACTAGAGGCAATCTACCAGGCGAATCCTGTGGCGAAGTTACATTACTTGTCTCACTCTCATAGCTTAAGGAAGCACTAACTAGAGATGAAGGGGTGGAAGGTGTCCCTGAATCATGCCCTTCAGCTGCCCAGTCCCACGCATTTCCTGAGTGGGAGCCAAATGTAAAGCTCTTACCCGCGGGACTTTTCAGCACACTGTCTGGGGATGAAGGGTCAGCATTTTTAACAGTACGATCCTCATCCAATTGCATTGTCAACTGATTAATTGGTTGACTTTTGGATCTTGAATGCTGCAATAGATTCATTGCCTTACTGGGCACTCGCTCAAGTGAAGACAATTTTTCAGAGGACGTATTTTTAGATGATTGACAATAAATACAAGTTGACTGTACCTTTCCTGTCTCTCCAATATATGAAGGTAGCACCTGTGTTCCAACATCCACAACATTTACCTTAAATCTTGATTTGATATCCATATTTAATTCCTCTTCTTGATTAAACATGTAATTACTAGTACTATTTCCATTACCATTCAGCTCTCTATCATCTTCTGGATGAAGTGTGTCACTCTCAACCATGTCACACTTTGGAGAACCACATGAACAAGTAGAACAATGGCGCTTTGCTCTCTCCCGCTGCCTCTCTTCTAGCACAGCTGCCATAATGGCAGCCGAAACAGCATCAACTGGTTCCTCCTTCTCATCTTCCTCTGAAAAATTTTAAAATAAATTTTCAATTACAATCGTCACACACGCACACCTCAGTGCCTAATTCCTCTTCTCACACACACACCTTGGCATCATCACTATTATCATCATCATCATCACACTCCATCATTAACATTTTATGGCAATTTTCCACATCTGCACGAATATTATTTTTCACCATCTTTAAAGTTTCTGTGGCCTTGATCCACATGACAAAACAGTAAGTAAGAAATAAAGATTAACAGACAATGAGAGATGGAATCATAACATTACAATATCAAAACAAAATACAGTATTACCCCGCTTAACGCGGTTTCGCTTAGCACGTTTTACCGTATACGCGGTGCCTCGCCAGAGCCGAACTTTCTCTTAACGCGGGTTTTTTCCACGTATACGCGGTGAGTGTCCGGCTCGAGAGCTATTTTTAGATTCCCCCCACCCGCCACCCTTCCTGACTGCCTGTTTTAGCTCATATAATTCATACAAATTACCCGGCCAGAATATAATTTACATTGCTGGAATTCTTACAATATGATGATCATTTTGAATATAAACATCATAGATTTTGCATTAGACATACAAATTTTAGATATAATGTTTACTCTGAGTAAAGATGTTATCTTTTGTGCAAAATATATGACATTTGTATTCAAAATATTCCTGGTCTTACAAGAAATCCAGCAATGTCAATTGTATTATCCTAACTTTAGTTTGAGGTATTATTTATTAAAATTTAGTGGTTTTCCCCCAAAAATTTCTCAGAGAGGGAAGAGCCAGCAGTGTAGTGTGAGAAGAGGAAAAAGAGGGAGTTGAGTCCATTATTTGAATGGACATTGACTTGGCGACTGTATTTCTCTATTTCTCTTAAGTATTAATTGTGTGCATGTACCATCATAAAATTAAGATGTTATTTTTACTAGAACATAGGTATTGTGTCGGAAAAAGTGGAGTTTGGGGGTCGGGCCAGTTTCTATTGGAATTAATCCCATATGTTCTGTTGTTCACTTAGCGCGGTTTTCACTTAACACGGTACCCTGTGGGTTTTATTGACCGCGTTAAGCGGGGTACTACTGTACAATATAGTAAACTCCCTCTAAGCCAGACTCACTTAATCCAGAACCAGACACATGTATTCCCAGCCCAGAAAAATTTACCAAAATCGGTTAACACAGAGGGAAGTTGGAGGAAGTGGGAGCTACCACTCAGCAGCTGCCTCTGAGGAGATGTTGGAGGTGGTTGCTGAGGAGCACTAAAGTGAAGTGTCTTAGAAATGCAAATAGTGTACAGTACATACAGTTGATCAAACTAGCAATAAAAACATAAACCTCCTCTCCACCTTTGGTGGCGTACATTGCAAATGTTGTACACTCACTTCCACCTCCTAACCTCAAAATTCAACCACCTCAAGATAAGTTAACAATTAATTAGTAAAGTACTATATTATTAACATGTACTATGTGCTTCTATTCCTCATCAACAGGTACATAGTATTATAGTGTCATAACAATATACACCATATGAAAGACTCTTCTACTTCGTATGATTCTCCGATTATTTTAGTTGTTGGGGCCGCATGCAAAAAAAATTACAGTGAGCAAAAAATTGTACTGTACAAGTACTCCTCGACTTACGACCTACTGTACTTGACTTACGACCACCCGGACATACAACCGCTGCAGTCGTATAAAATATTTTTAAAATTACGTATTTTCGAGTCCCGATGTTAGTGATCGCGCTGTATACTGACAAAATTTTCGTTTGTAATTCCCTTTAAAATGGCTGGCAAGCGTAAAAGAGAGAGTTCTCGTGGTGCTGAGAAGAAAAAGAGAAGCTCATTTTAGATTTTCTATGTATTATTTTCTCCTTTCCGATTTACGACCTGTTCGTCGGTCCGGAACCCCGTCGTAAGTCGAGGAGAGACTGTATAAATTTTTGTCCCAGCATGAATTTGGTACGGCAATGATACAGAATAAATTCTCTACAAATATGACGCTGTGTTTAACAGCCGATACTGTACACACAGCTGCCAAGAGAATGAATGCTACCGGCAACATCAGATGCTCAATGAGCACAATTGTACCAAGAGCCAGTGCCATGCTGCAACAGCATATGAGACCGAGGAAAAATGTACTTTTTCCACAGACGTTAAAACTCCAACCAGGTAAACAGCATTCATATGGCGTAAAAAAAACCCTGAGAGTGTTAAGTCTAAGTCTAGGCTAAAAATTACAATACCGGGTAAGTTCAGTGTTGTTTGGCAGCTTGACTCATATATCCCCCATCCACTTGGCATTTTCACTATGCATTACAAACCCCCATCCGACCTGGAATTTCAGCCAAACTAGACAGGCCTTCCACTAAATTAGTATGGATTAGAGGGAATATACTGTAATACAGGATGTCCCAAAAGTCCATTCTTTTAGGTAAAATATTACTATTAACCTTTTATTTAATCTAAATGTCCAAACTGTATGTCATTAACATTTGGAAGACCCTGTATAATATTCCCCCCATACTGTACAGTACAGTACTGTATAGCGACACCAACATACCTGCATACTTATTAACAGAGTAAACCATTGCAGTCGGTGGGAAAGTCGGGATAGGAACTTTAATGACTTTCATCTCTGGTTTAGGATTGTCCCGAGGCTCCCGCGCGAGACGAGACTTGGCCTTTTTTTGTACATCTGAAGGAAGCTGAAATATGAGAATAATTATATGATTTTGTTTCATCTCAATAATAATTAAATATGAGTGAATTATATTTTATTTCATCTCAATAATAATTACATATAAGTGAATTACATCTTGTGTCATCTTAACTAAAGTGCTCACAGTACAAGGACTACCAAAGGTTCAAAACTAATACTAATGGTTTCTAGTGTATGAACTCCACAGTGAATACAAAAATACAGATTCAAAAGTTCTCTTAGATTAATGTACAGACAGACACCGAAAAAGACTGGGGATCCCTCTCCTTCCTGTCAGGCTCCTCAATGCAGGTCTGACTCAACCATGTAAACTAACGCATCATGGTATACACAAACTATCAAGCGACTGCAAGCAACAATCATTCCTATTTCCTGCAATACTTCAAAACTAATCAGAGTCTAAGTGGAGAAAAAATTTTACTCACTAAACCCATCCACCAGACTGGCTGAGTTAACAATACTCTAAAAGCTTCAAGTAGTTACTGTGTAGGATGCATACACAACCTTAGTTACACTCACAGAGTCCAATTTATGAGATGCATACTTGGATGGATTACACTGAAGAAGCTGGATGGCCAAGTTGAGGTCATTCTTATACCGGTCCTGCAATATTGAAATGAAACAATGATAACTCAGATACTGAAGGCTTATTACACATCAGTATAAGGACATGATACTCGTCAGTAATATCCCCAATAGCCAGAACAAGCTGTACTGTAAGTACTGTACAGTATACATAACTGTAAGTACAGTTATCACTTTTTATGGCTTAACATTGTTTTACCAGTGCTTTAACAGTATTCTTGGCTGGTTGTATCCTGGTTCAGTAATGTGCAGTATAGCAAAATGCAGATCATATACAGAAACAGCAGAGTGAGCAAACAAGTTTGTAGAATGGCAGCAGACAAGGAACAAAGAGTGTGTCATAATGCTATAGTTTGAGGAGATAGGCTGTGAGATACATTAGCCAATCACAGGCATCCCATGCAGTCACTCTGAGCCTACAACCAAAGTTCTCCATGCAGCTAGCCCACCCACACGCTTGGTACAGTACGCACTCAGGGCATGATGCAATCTCTTGGATTTTTATTCGAATGCAGGAAAAGAGATGTTTTTATCATTTCTCAGATTTTTTATTTTATTTTCTGGGTGTTGGAAAGTTCTGGGAATGAAGATTCTGACTAATGGGGATATACTTTCATGATACTCCTCAGTATACTTACATTATCCTCAATCAGTACTGTATACTGTACTTACATCATAGTCAACCAGTAGACTTGTGAAGACCTTCTCCATAAACCATCACTGCTAATCCCTATAAATCCTAATCCCCTTTTCTTTTACCATTACGTATAAAGATGAAGAAGTTAAACATGTAATAAAGAGTTCAGTGAGAGTAGTGTGTGGTGCATCACTTTATACACTATAAGGTATTAAATCTCACTAAACCTTCTGGTGAGCTCTCCTACACCTACACGTGGGTCTTCTTGCTCTTGGGTGCTCACACTATACAGTACTGTATTCCAACATATACAGGTAGAGTATTTAGTTTCTATGATTTGTATTTGATTTATTTTTTGCTTTCTCTTTTACATTGCATTGTTGCTGTTCTGTTTTGTAAGGTTTATCAAGCTCATTCATACTCTTTGTGATTGATACACATTGAAATTTTTTTTAAATTAAGAATATTGCAAATTTGTACCTTTGTGCCTTGAGGTTCAGCAACCTCAGTACTACTGTACTGAGGTTGTATCACACTGTCTCTCTTATATTAACATTAACACCTGAAAACTAACTTAAGTTACCATTAAACGTACATTCTCCTGTTTAAGTCTGTTGATGGCCTGGGCAGCGGTGGTGAGGGCCGTGGTGAGGCTGGCAGTGTCAGCAGCTAAGCTGGACTTTTCACTCTCCGTACGGTCCACCAGACGCAGGAGTTTGTCCTCCAACCCTTGGTTCACCTTCTGCAGTCGTTTATGAGCCTCCAGGAGTCTGAGGAATAAGGAACATATGGTTGACCTACAGTATTGTGATATTTACAATTTCAGTTAAATCCCAAAACATTTGTATTTTGACTAGTTATGATATTCAAATACAGGTACCAGAACAGTAGAGTATCACAAAACATTGACTACACATTTTGTTACCATGCTCGCTCATGTGTGACAAGGTGTGTGTGTGTGTGTGAAATACTCTACTGCTCTGAAGTCATTACATGTCCCTGTATTTGTAATCTTCTTGCAACTTGTACCAACTTTCAGTGCTGACAACAATTGAGTTTGTGCTAGTTTAGATTTCTTGAGTGTTGTGTAAAGTTAGGCACAGCACTATGATAACATGTAGTGTAGTGGTTTGATGCTTACAAGAGGGGCACTGAAACAGAATACACTGGTGGCCATAGTATGAATGACTGAGCGAAGATAACGGATAAAAGATGATACTGTATACATAAAGGAAAGCTTTATTTTTTAAAGGTATAGAAGATCTGGTAAAGGAATGAAGCAAATAAAATATAGGGCTCAATAAATAGAAAGAGGAGATAGGAGAAACAGAAATGTGTATTTATATATACGCTGCACATAAACAGTACTACGGTGTGTGTAGTAATGTAACATTGATCGTGTGATTGTAGAGGGTAGCAGAGGTGGGTCGGCAAGAATGAATGTAACGTATGAATGTATAAGCATGGATGAATGACACATACAGTGGTTGTGGTACATTAAGAAAATTCTGCATAGATTATCCTCTATTCTTGCTGTGGGAAATTGTTTGTTCAGTAAAAATTAATGGAAAATACTTGTCAAGACCAGGGCTTTAACTATAGAAAAACAATCTCAGGCATCTCAAGCCTCTAAAAAATTCTTAAGTAAAAATGTTTAGGGTCTGAGAAAAATTGTCTAATAAATCTCATGGCTAATAAAATCCTAGTAGAGAAAAATTGGGCAAAATACAAAATCTTAAAATTAAATATAGAAAGTAGATAATAACAAATCTTACCTTTAAGTCCTGTTCACCTGGTGACATAATTATTATTTATTAATTTGAACTCTATAACAATTGAAGGTGACAACAACATTACTTTTGCTTATCAGATTATCAATGCTAATCGTCATACATCTCAAGACTCCAATATTTTCTTTATGGTCAAGGTCAAAATTAATACAATTTAGACCTGGAAACTTGGGTCAAGCCCTGGTCAAGACTGACTAGATACAATCTTATTATTTTACAGACAAATGCTAATAATGATGAAGATACTGTACAACCTGTAGTCTTATGAGAGGGCCAAGTGATCTTTCAGTTCAATGTGGATCATAAAGTATTGACTATTATAAGGAGAGCATTTCACTATGTGAATAAGTTACATCAATATGCAGAATTTTTTTCTGATTTATTCCAGGTATTCTTGTATGTGACCACAATGTTTCCTGAAGGTTCTAGCATATTTGGTCTACTTTATTTAAAAAAAAACTAAGGTTTCTTCAGAGGCATAGTGAAGTAAGACCAAGGAATAGATAGATAGAGATAAATAGATTTTGACCAAGAGGTGGCTGTACTAGACCTTGGTCCATCAACATTAACACTGCAGTATATCCTCTTTAGTTTCTCTAGAAAATCCCAGCACAGCTTAATTCTTTATAATCTTCTTGAATAGAAGCTTTTTCTATTATTCTTAGCATTCAACAACTACTGGGTGAAGGACTGTTCCACCAGCAACAAGCTCCCCCAAAACTGTGTTCATTTTGTTGATGAGTGAACAAGTGCTGGTATACATACAAGAAAGGAACCCAGTCCTTCAATACTGCTGAGAATCAAACCCAGGAACTTTTTGCTTGAGAAATGAATGCTGAAGAATTGATGACTACTTTTACCACCACTACTACTGCTAATACTGTACTACAACTATTACTACTGTACTTTTTTACAGAAGTATGGTTGTTCAAGTACCTGTACTGTTTTCAGAAAGGAAATTTCATGATGACAAAGGAAAATTTATGAAAACATAATCAGTAGCTATAAAAAAAGTAAAGAGGATTTGACTATGAAGGTCCATTTTATAGAAAGCCAGTAATGAATGACCCAGGAATATTTTGTAGACCTGTTCCTGTTACCAAAACTGACAGACAGATCTGGAATGTAGTAATTTGCTTTCTCTTCCAGTTTCACAAATGAGAGAATAATAACTCTTAAGCTCAAGTGACTGAAGCAATTGAGGATACTGAAGTACACTGTGTTTGGCACACAATTTTTTTACCCGGGAAGACATCGCCTGCGGGTGATGTTTCTCACAGGTGGATGGAATCTTTAAGTAACAGCTCAACAGACATACAACTGATCTATAATAGTCTGTACACATATTCACTTACAGGTAACAGTAGTGAAGATGAGACAACAGTGATGGACACTTTCTGGATCTCCAAGATTAGTAGTAAAATATCATTATGCTGCATTGATGTTTTCTTCCACAATGGATAAATAAGATAATACTGTGAAACCTCTATTTAATGGAGTACGTGGAGAGGAAAGTCTGTTATATCAAGGGTCTGTTAGATGAGAAACCCCCCACCTCACAGTCTATTACATGGGGCTTTCACTATACTGTAACACACTTTCCTTTTATGGTGCACTGATGTTTTGTTTTATAATAATGAAAACGAATATGAAATACCTACCACATATTCACTGAAATAAATTCCTCCTAAACACTTCCTTCTGATGTCTAGATGGATCTTATACAATACAGTACAGTATACTGTACCATACACTGTCAAATACAGGGCTGTCTCATAAAAATGTAGACACACTGCCTTAAAGAGTTTCGTGGATCTCGCATAAATGTTTTTATTACCACAGCAACAACATTGTCTTCACTTGTAGGGCAGTGTGTACACATTTTTCTGAGACACCCTGTACAGTACATTAAGTAGAAGGAAACAAGAATGAATAGAGAAGATAATATGGGAGTACATGATATCAATGTGTACTGAGGGGGGTACAGTGTGGATATAATAGGACATGGGTATAGTGTACACGGGTATACAATACAAGATATGGGTATACTGTGCCATGCTTGGTAGGGTAATACTGGATAACACCTTTCTCACACATGTCCCGAGCCAGGAGACTAAACCCAAAACACGGTGGTAACACATTTGTTCATTACCGCCACACCCTGATGAGCATTATGGGTAGAACGGGAGTTTTACACAAAACATAAGAACAATATCACATTACTGAAAGCTTAATTTGTCAAATAATTCTATCTTCTTGTTTACAGACTGTAATGTCTATAAACAGCATAAAAATAAAAAAGCAAATCTGACAAAAGATAAAACACATCTTCAATACTTGGGTAAAGAAAATTAAAACCTCATAGTATTTACTCATCATTTCACCACTTATCAGATTACTAGCCATTCAAGGGGTCGATCTGTTCTTTGTTTTGACCTTTACCATCCAGTGTTATTACAGGAGGAAACTGTAGTACCTGCAGAAAACCTGCCATGTTTGGTAGTGTCACATTGGACAAAACTCTTCTCACCCATGTCCCGGGCTAGGGATTAAACCTAGGACACGGTAGTGACAGAAACGCACATTACCACTGTACCACCCCCCTATAAGTATACTTGTGAGAGGATTGTCTTACCTGTCATATTTATCCTGCCAGTGATCACACTGTGCCCTAAGGACGGCCACCTGACCCTGTGGGTAGTGATCAGGTCGGTCCTGTGCCATCTGTGCCTCCAGTTGCACTATGGCTACGTCTCGGTCCAACAGACGTCGCTTTAGCACCAATACTTCACTCCGCAGGGCAGATGTGCTCACGCCACAGTTGACACAATCACCCCCCTGGGAATGAAAAATACAGTCCAATGGCGCTATTCTAAGTAATGAATGAGGCTTGCATTTATTCAGGTCCTTTAATCTCAATCTGGGAAACTGAAACTGCCTCAGTGTGAGCAAATACTGTAACAAGTAAAGTTCAACCTAGCAAAAGAAATTAAACCAGCACAGCCAACTATTGATAACATGAGTTTTGGTTCCAGGGTTTCATGTAATGTGTTCCATAGTTTTAGACCAAATATTTGAAATCCTTGACTTTCATGGAGAGTGCAGTACAGTACTGTACTACACCTGTAATGTCAGTTATGGTACTGTACAATAAATTTCAGTAGAAGTTTGTTATTCTAGAGCATGTATTGGCCACAAACTGTACACTATCACTATGTCCAACAGCTAAAACCACTAGTACATTTTTTTTGTTACACACTGGAGTATCTGGAATCTGAATGCCTTGGGACCAAGAGGCTTTCTCAAATAGTCAATTATTTTGAAAATTTGCCTATCTATTCCAGGAACCCATATACTGTATAGTACTGTATTTAATAAAATTATCAATTCCTATTTTAACAAAGCATGGTCTGTGAATGGTCACTAGTGTGGGACATGAACACTACTATAAAGGGCAATCATCTGCTTTACAAATAAATCTATCTCATTATTCTCCAAAACCTGCACATACTGTATATAGTGCAGTATTAATATTCTTAGATGTTGGTACAAGCAGAAACATTAACATGATTAGCATCCTTTTTAAAAAATAATCCTAACTGCATTACCAACACCTCTGGACAGAGACTAAAAGAAGTAGATCCAGCCTACACAAAGGCAGTCCAGTACAGTTTTAGGGATTTATACTCCTGAACCACAGCTTTCCAGACATCCTGTTTCAGATAACCTCAAGTGCCAATTGTTCTAGAATGCTGGACGTGTACAACTGCAACATACAGCGATAACTGAGAGGCGGGTAGTGTACATAATAACTGACAGTCGGCACACACGCAAGACAGTTTGTACGGAAAAGAAAATAAATTAACAAGTCACTGTGTATGTAGCTACTGTTCTCCTTGTTATAAAATAAAAGTGTGAGCATATAGTATACAGTAAAAAGTTCTGAAACATAATCTATATGTTACGAGATGGTAGTTGAGCTATATGCATGTGAAGATATATTGTACTGTACAATGTTCCTAAGACTTCTATATATTAGAGTGTTATGTACTGCACAGTACAGTACTGTACACAGCAACTATAGAAAAGTTAAGATTGCAAAAATATTATAGTTTAAAGTCAAGAATTTTTGGTACTGGCATTGTTGTACTTTCTTCTTCTGTATTAGAATATCTGAGGCTCTGTTTCTGGTGAGTGTTGCAGAGGATATGGTCAGCACCTGATCACTCACCTGCAGGCCATGGACGCTGTTCATCTCTCTGGGTGTCCCTCACACACCCTCAACTCTCTCACCATCTGAAAAAGATGAATACTTTATATCAAAGGTTGATAAAAAGATCTGTTATGGGATATACAGTACTATACTGTACTAACAGATTCAGTAGTTATTCATGCACATACAAGTCATACTTTGAATTGATTAATTATAGCAATATCTAAATGGTTCAGATTAAACAGGTACACTTTTGCCCTACACATACAGTATTTATCTATACTGTATACATTACTTTACATGGTTAAAACATTACCGTAATCTATTTTCTTCACACGGATAAATTTCTGTAATACAGTACAGTACTGTGCAGTATCTGGACTTGAATGTTACTTACAATATAATAATACTAAATATCAATCAATCAATCAATCAAAGTACCGTCCTCATGTCTGAGGGTTGACAACCACAGTCCTCAACTCTGAACACATTCTCAACTCTGAACACATTCTCAGGCTGTTTTTAACAATCCTCCGATATTTTGCATCTCTCTGGGGACCCAGTTTTAAATTTCATTCACCCATCCCAGTCTCTGCCTTCCTACCCTCAACTTTACTCATTACTATTTCTATTATTATTCCCTCATCTCTAATTATATATGTATAACTAAAGCATCTTATTTTCCTTATTGTGTAAATTTTAAGTCTTTCTCTGGAAGTTTTTGCCAATCTTAGTATTTCTTCATTTGTCTTCCAGTCAGTGTGATTTATTTTCAACACTCGCCCATAACACCACATTTCAAAAGCCTTTAACCACTTTCTGGTGTCTGCTGAAAGTGTCTACGCTCTGACTCATACAAAAATCCTGCTTTCTGTTTCAATTTCATATACTTATTTGTATTTTTTTGTTTTTGTTTTAGCCTCACTAAACTCATTATACAGTACTAGGATGTGGCCTGACCCACAACTTGCCCCTGGATAAGTCTTGTTTTGGGTTACTAAATTTCTGAATCTTTTCTGAAATAAAATGTAATCTATTTGATCCCTGACACCGTTACTTACATTGTTCTGGGGTGATAGCCATGTATAGAGATGCCTAGGGTGTTGCTTAAACCATGTACAGTAATTGTTACTTAAACCATGTAGTACAGTAATTGTTAACAGAAGTCAATTAATATTTCTCCTCTTTCATGTTTGTTATCCATTCCATGTGGTCCTACTTCTGTTGCTACTTTCCCTTTCCCAACTTGTGCATAAAACCATCCATTATAATCTGATGTTCATTAAACTTCACAGTCCTTTGCTTTCTTTAAATCTTCATACATTTTTCTAAACGTCATCCTTACTGTCATTTATTGCATAAATTTGTATTATTGCCAACTCCATGGATTTAACATTAAACTTGACTTAAAAAACTCTTATTTGACGTTGCCCAATATCCATTTACATTACTGCTCAACTTCTGGTTTACAAGAATACCAACACCTCTTTCATGTTTTTCACGAACTTAATATATATACATAGTAAAAAATTTCACCACTAATACTATTTGAACCTGTCCATCTTATTTCACTTCATCCCAGAATGTCCCACAGCAAGCTTTTTATTTTCCTACAAACAGTTACAGTACAAACTTTCCACCCTCATATAATGTCTTCACATTCCACATTCCTATTTTGATTTCATGCTTGTTCATTATTAAGCTTCCTGTAGTTGTGTTTAATGTCCAAGGCTTTGTTTTCCTTGGACAGTACTTGCCAGCCCTCAGAGGCACACTGCCTGCAAGCACGGGAGGCATGTGGTTGGACCTTTAGGTAACAGAACGCTCAAAATTGTTTATTGTGTTTGTCCATGGTTGTTCATAGGCAAGAGCTGAAACTCATGGGAATGGATGCCCCAAACCTTTCCTTATCAGAAGACTAATTAACAGGGAGTAGAAAAAGTTAGGAATGAGCTATACAGATAGAGGTCGCTCATACCTCACTCTGGTAAAGAACCAACCCATCACCTGAAACTAAATATACAATACAGTACATGAGAGTAAAAGTGAGACTACATTATTACACCATTTATGAAAAGATCACATGAAACAACTTACCTAACCTAAATTAAAAAAATAAGGCAGAGATTGTATAGCTGTACACCCCAGGTACTGTACAGATATTTAATATAAGAGCTTGCAGTCTACCCTCACCTATTTTATAGTAAAACACTGTCATTAAGGATAGGTTTGGGGAAAGGTCTATTAACCACTTGGGTACAGGGGTCCTCTCTCTGCTCAAGAATATGGTCTGGCATTACCCAAATAAATATTAAAAGTGACGTCCCTGTGGTGAAGGGTTTAAAACAATTCGTCCATGAATCCTAACTGTTTTATTTAGGGTACCAAACCATGTATGTATGTTAAACAAATAACTGAAGATCATTTCATTAGGTTAGTTAGGTTCATGTCATCTTTTATATATGATGTAAGGCCATAGACCCATACATACTACAGTATAAATACGAAACTGTAAATAATAACATATGCTGTACTCTAATTCACATGGTATCAGAATTACCGAAGGTAAAATATCATCCATCAATCACTTGATTACAATAAATAACACTTATATCAATAATCATGGATAGTCCCATTTCAAATCAAAAGGCAGTAATGGTCATCCATCCATACTTAGGTTCATATATCAATTTATTGAGCCTCAAAGTTGGTTATGTAAGGTTTGGGTTAAGATGCATCAGTACATTGTATAAACAAAAAAACCTAGAGTCAGAAAGAAATAATAAGATGGGAGACAAGGTACTGACAGAGCTGTAAAAACAGGTCTGACACTTAAATAACTGCAACCACCACACTAGTTGGAGCTCTATAAAAACTCTGGTTTGCTGCACTACAAGAACCAGACAATTTTCCATCAATTGCTTCAGTTAAGCACATCAAACATGCGTATAGACCCGCCAACAGGCTATACACACCAAGTCTTACCCAACAACTTAGACCACTACTCCTGGTTCAACCTTCACTCCTCCCTCGCTCTCCTTATATTTCACAACAAAAGGGGGAGTTGCAACACACTGCACACTGTCACAAGTAACTCAGAAACAGGTTATGGTAAACATAATTACACAACCAAAGCATAAAAATCTCCATTTAATTTATCCTTCTTGCCACCTCGTCCAGTATAGTGAAGTAAACAAACACGGCCACACAGTCACCCTCAACCTTGACCTACTACACGGCCGTACTCCACCGCAGACTGCATAAAACCAATATTAATAATCACTAAACCAACTTAATATGACATTAAAATGTCCTCACGGGGATATACTCACGAGGGTGGGAAGTGTAAGGAAGTATTGAGGGTGAATATGGTGGTGCCTGAGGCTGACAGCTGACGAAGGCATCAATGACAACACAGCGACGCCGCCGCCACCTGCCGCCCGCCGCCTCAACTACCCTAACCCTAGATAGACAGTAGTTCAGCATGTGTACTGTACAGTATAGACAACGTACTGTAGATATACAGTTCACCATGAATCAAGACAAGGAGACTTAAAATAAAATTCCTTACCTCAGTGTTCACGAGAGATTCAGCGCTGACGCACAGTTCTCAGAAGAGTGTAATAGAAACAAATTGTCAAAACGAAACGTTGATAAAAGTCCTGCTGAGGTGTGCATCCCAGAGCATGAAGAGAGTTGTGCAATGAGCTTGCCTCATGATCTCTACTGATGCATTGACGAGCAAAAGGTCCCCAGTGACTGGAAAACGCCACAAAATGTAAAATGATGTACCTCTGTCGTAACAACAGTAACGAGACGTGAAAAGGACCTGGATGTGTATGTCGACAACGAACTGAAGTTCTCAGACCATCGTGAGAAGGTGAATCAAGTCAACTGGCACTATCGGAGGGCAAACTGCCAATCCTTGCGAGAATTCTTCACCGACTTTCCTTGAGATGAATGTTGCTTTTCCACTCGGGACGCCTCAGTATGTGCTGACAACATTGCTGGGGTTATACAGGGTGGTATGAGTGTACAGTATTTATCCTATCTTCTACCAAAATTTCACTTTACAATCATGGTTTGATCGCTCCTGTTCTCTTGCTTGCAGGGAGAGAGATAGGGCATATCAAGCTATGAAACCATCTCCTCCTATTATCCACTCCCCTTTCATTACTTCTAGGAATCGTTGTAAGGCTATTCTTCATAGGGCCAAGCGGAATTTTATAAAAAGAAAGACCGCTGTCTTGACTAATTCTTACTCTTGTAAACCCTTCTGGTCCTCAACCAAAAACATCTGTAATAACTTCTGCACTCTATTTTCCTCCTCTCTTCCGACCTGATAACTCTATAGCCAATTCTTCCCCTGATAAGACAAATTTCTTTGGCACCTTATTCTCCTCTAACTCCACCTTAGACGATTCCAACTCTACCCCTCCTACTCCTTCTCCTTCTACTGAACCTAAGCACTTTCCTATAATCTCCACTCGTATGGTTGCTGGTGTGTTATCCAGGTTGGATGTGAGTAAGGCGCATGGACCGGACGTAATATCCCCTCGTGTTCTGAGGGGGTGTGCTGAAATTCTGGCCCCTGTGCTTGCTCGCCTCTTTCGCATTTGCATCGAAACCCAAACTTTTCCTTCTTCTTGGAAGCATGCCTTGGTTCAGCCCATCCCAAAGAAGAGTGACCATTCTAATCCCTCTAACTATCGCCTCATTGCCCTAACTTCATCCCTCTATAAGATTTTCGAAACTATCTTGAACTCCCATTTTCTCCGTCACCTTGAACGCCATTCTCTTTTGTCGGATCACCAGTAGGGCTTTTGCCAGGCGATATCTACTGGTGATCTGCTCTCCTACAGCACCCATCTTTGGTCATCCTCTCTTAGGGATTATGGAGAAACTTTCGTCGTGGCTCTCGAGACTTGACCAACATTGGAGCGGGTTCAGGTACATTCAGGAGCCGGTGCATGCCCAGTATTTGCCAACAGTGCATGACAGAGACGTGACCGATCGCCCGGGCGGCTAGCGAGCCGATCAGTGGCGAAGAGGATAAAAGCAAAAAAAGTAAAAGTATTACTACCGGTTTACACTGCGTGTATCATTTATATCTCACTCACTTATGTCTTCCTTTAAAATAAAACAAAATATTTGATAGATACAGTACATAGATAGTCATTAAAATGTTCATACACTTTTACATTCATTAACCATTATGTAGACAATACAGGTATACAATATACACAGACAGTGCAGGTATAATATAAACAATACATAGACAGTACAGGTATACAAACAATAAATAGACAGTACAATACGAAGCCAGTGCAGGTGTAAAACAATACAAACAGGCCCTTTTCATGTATTCATCAACTACGTGCTTCTTGACACATTGTTTATTTTCACAATGATTTGTTTGCATTCCATACGTATGCAGATCTTTTATCCTAACCTTTGTCAATAAAAGGTCCACCAGCTTATACTACAGACGGGCAAGGGGCGACCTAGTTGAGGTGTATGAGCATCTCAAGGGGCACTACTCAGTCGAGTGTCCTTACCTGGAGCTGGCAGAGGCTCGCTCCACAAGGGGTCACAGCTCAAGAATGAAGAAGCTGCAAGTTCAGAAAACTGTGAGGGCAAACTTTTTTGGAGTGAGGGTTGTGAACTATTGGAATGATCTACCAGAGAGTGTTGTGACGGCACCGAGTGTGAGTTCTTTGAAGACCAGACTTGACCAACACTGGAGCAGGTTCAGGTACATTCAGGAGCCGGTGCATGCCCAGTACCTGCCAACAGTGCGTAACAGAGAGCCAGTACATGACTAGTACTTGTCAACAGAGCGTGACAGAGACGTGATCGACCGCCCAAGCGGCTAACGAGCTGATCAGTGGTAAAGAGGATAAAAGCAAAAAAAATGAAAGGTCGCGAGTTCTTGCCCTGGGCCTAGACCTTTCACATCCTCAAACCTTTCTAGTTTTCTTTTTTATCTTCTCAGTTTTTCTCTGATAATATTTCCTCATTTTCACTGAATCCTTCATATAAGGAATTGTCAGACCCAGAATTGAACCAGTTTCCCTCACCCTCTTCCTCCTTTTCTTTCTGAAGTTGATCCCCCGCATCTAGATCAAAGAAAGCGTAGCAATAATCATCTTCATCTGTCACGCCCCGTTTAACGTTGTCATTATGCTGCACACCTCCTTGAGTAACCCCTGGTGGCAGCTGGAGTTGGGGCCTCCCTTGGGATGTGGAAAGAGGCGGTGGCACACAGGGAGGAGGCGAAGAAGGAAGTGAAGGCGGATTGCATGACCTTGGAAGTCCTCCACTCGTGTTACCCGTATGGATGGAGCATGAGGAAGAACCTGCTGATAAGTGGTATGCGACGGACGTGTCGTTGGTGTTCTGCTGGAGAGAGGAGCGATTCTTTGCACCAGACCGTCGTCGCTTCTTCAGGCAGAAGCCGAGACATACAGCGAGGAGACTCATCAGCAGCACCGACACAATAATCGCGACCAAGACGTTGAAGTCTTCCTCATCAACACGTCTTGAGGTTCCTACAACAAAAATAAAGTTGAACCTCAAACACCCTAACGCTAATCTAACTCAATCTAACTTTACCTAACCTAATGCTCACCTAACCCAACCTGACTTATTCAGTCTTAACATAACATGATGCTAGCCTAATCTAAAACAACATAAACTAATGCTAACCTTTACGCTGACCTAAGCTGAACAAACTTAACATAACCAACGTAATCTACACTGAATCTAACGCTAACCTGACCTAACTCTACCTGACGCAAAGACTATTTTAACCCATTTATCTAACTACAGTATTATATATATATATATATATATATATATATATATATATATATATATATATATATATATATATATATATATATATATATATATATATTATATATATATATATATATATATATATATATATATTGATTCGTTTGTATCCCCGTTAAGTTCATATTGATAAATTAAAATGGCAGTTGGTTGATTTTAATGCATCAGTAATATAATATAAATAAATGCTGTACTTACTCTCCGTTGGTTTGCATCCCACCGCCCATTCCATATGACTTGAGTTTATCAATTCCAAATCGAAATTATCCGTCGGTGTATTAAAATTAAATGTCTTACTAAAACTTCCGACGCTCAGCTCTGCTGAGTTTTTTTCGGTTTCCTGAAAGGAATGAATTAAGTCAGGCATCTGTGAGTATAGTAGCTAAATTATTGGTGTTTTTTGTATACTCACACCGCAGTCTAGGAACACTACAGCATACCTGCGTTGTCGTCGTCTATACAGTACATTACACAATACACAAGTTTAACTGTATCCCTGCATTATCACTATACATGATAAACTGTATACTTGCATTATCTATACACATGCTGAACCAATTGTAAATATATATGATGATTTTACTGACTACCTATCTATCTACTGTATATAACATTAGACGATCTACTTCTTGGAAAAACGTTAATAAAAATTTTCTGTATTTTACGACATGGAAAGAAACTGCTGATATATATATATATATATATATATATATATATATATATATATATATATATATATATATATATATATATATATATATATATATATATATATATATATATATATATATATAGTTCCGCCCATGTCCATTGCTGAATCTTAACCGATTCTCTCCTCTCGCATTCACCAACAAAGAATAAAGCCTGCCTGTACTATCATCAAGTAATGTACTGAACCAACACTGACCTCCATGTTCAGTTCCTCCCAAGTACCACTGTTGATCTGGGAGGCGGTAATTTCCACATCGGATTCCGTACCAGAGAGCTGAGATAATATTGCCCAGGCCAGAGTCGAGGTATTCCGAACGAACACCTTTTTGGTCTCCAGTCGGTGATCATTAATACTGTAGCGGGCCAGAGAGTCGTCGAAGATGGGACAGCCTGTGGGCCAGTGGGTTATACAGCTTACGAGTGACAGATGATTATGGAACAGACGATCAGAATTTAGGAATAACATAATGTGATGAAAAAATAAAGATTCGTGTAAGAGCGCTTCCTCAGTCAACAAAATGCACGTAACTTTACACGCTCAAGGCACAAAAATAGATCAACTTTTTTACTTTTTACTTTTATCCGCATCGCGCACTGATCGGCTCATTAGCCACGTGGGCGATCGGTCACGTCTCTATTACGCACTGTTGACAAGTGCTGGGCATGCACCGGCTCCTGACTGTACCTGAACCTGCTCCAGTGTTGGTCAAGTCTGTCTTAACAGAGCTCATACTCGGTGCCGTCCTTCCAGTTTTTAGGAACAATGGTGTTACAATGAAAAGAAATTTACAGCCAACTTTCAAATAACTTTCAATTTACTGTACAAACACATAGTATTCAAATTTAAGACAGGGAATAGTTTTTAAATAGACTGATGAACAATATTTTTTGTATCTAATATTGAGACATAGTTATGTTTTACACGTCTATTTTATTGGACTTAACGGGGACGGCAGAGGGTCTGTGTGCCATCTGGCAACCTTTTCCTCAACATTAATTTTGAAGGTAAAACCACCAGTACAGTGTAACTTTATAATACTGCACCATCTCTGATCAAACGTCTCCCGCATTCTATATTCTGTAGCTAGTGTCTGGTGTGCTGGCCTTAAGAAATTATATGTAAATTTTTTTGCCATTTTGTGTTTACATAAAACCAAACGATAATGTTTCCATCAGAAATATAAGTTTTTTTTATTCAACGTCGTTATATTTTTTTGGACACGACGCTTTGCTTATTGGTGAGTGAATCAGTCAATCAGATGTGGTTGTTCATCACTTGCCAGCTGTTATCAGAATCTATAGGCAACAAAGAACATATTCCAGCGGGACATTCATGTCATTCAGACAATGGCTCTATTTGTACTATCTATAAGTAAGGATTATCTCTTTCTTCTTAGATTTATATGTAGGTTTTTATTTAAGATACCCCACCCCCCAGTGATATACCCCACCTACAGTAGAGTCAGGGGCAGTAATTGCTTCCCCCCTCCCCAGTAGCAGGAGCCACAGCCTGTGAAGGCCGATACTGATATAATACAACATCCCAAGTTCCACACCAGACTGGTGCCTGCACTTCGGCACCTCAGCTACCCTGAGAGATTGGAGCGCCTGAACTTGCCTAGCTTATACTACAGACGGGCAAGGGGGGGACCTACTGTAGTTGAGGTGTATAAGCATCTCAGGGGGCACTACTCAGTTGAGTGTCCTTACTTGGAGCTGGCGGACGCTCGCCCCACAAGGGGTCACAGCTCAAGATTGAAGAAGCTGCAAGTCCAGAAAACCGTGAGGACAAACTTTTTCGGAGTGAGGGTTGTAAACTCTTGGAACAATCTACCAGAAAGTGTTGTGACGGCACCGAGTGTGAGCTCTTTCAAGACAAGACTTGACCAACACTGGAGCGAGTTCAGGTACATTCAGGAGCCGGTGCATGCCCAGTATTTGCCAACAGTGCATGACAGAGACGTGACCGATCGCCCGGACGGCTAGCGAGCCGATCTTTTGGTGAAGAATATAAATGAAAAGAGACGTGACCGATCGCCCAAGCGGCTAACAAGCCGATCAGTGGCGAAGAGGATAAAAGTAAAAATAGTTCCAGCAACGTTTCGACAGAGGGGGAAGGGAGAAGTGTTTGTCCGCTTGGCAGGCCTTCACTTGCCCTGGCTCCGGCTACTAGGGGGGGGTGTAGCAATTACGGCCTTCCTCTGACTGTACTGTACATAGCAGGGAAGAAACATCTAAATATGTAGTTAGTTCTTTTTCACGAGGTACAGGTGACTCACCTTCGTCGCAGTTCAGCACCACGTAAATGTTGTTTCTGGTGGGCGTCACGGTGAGGTAGTAGGCGGTATTGTCCTGAAATTTGACACTTGGACAAACGACACGATCGCTGAAGCTCAAGCTCAGACTCTCGTTCTTAATGGATAAACTGATGTTATTCCACTCAAAAAATGATTTTTTTTCTAATTTGTGTATATCCGCAGAGATTGAATCTGAGTCACTGTTGCTTGGTGAACACTTCAATTCTCCTCCATTCAAAAGTGGAACCCAGAACTTTAGTATAGAGGTGTTGTCGTGTTTGTATACACTGAAGTTCATCCCAGAGAGAACTTGGTCAATATTATCCATAGGGAGCAGACCAAGGACAACCTTCCCTCCTGTGAAGTAGGCCGTGAGGGTCTTGTTCTTCTCTACGTGGTGCACACTACAGTCTGTGGGAGGAACACCAGTTATACGAGGCTACAGTTGAACCTAATCCACCACCTTCATACAGTCACTGCTACTCATCCTTCTCTGACAGCCACGCAATCATTACAACCCTTTTATCAGTCACTACAACTGTGTATTCTAATATCCCACAGTCGTCTTAAGTGTTTATTAAGACTACTGCGTAAAACAACAAAACACTGTAGGCTCCTGGCGTTGGATCTTTGACTGGTTTAAATCTTATGTTAGCAACAGGTAACAAATAGTCGTTGTAAATTATAGAGTCAGCATTCAGATATCGATAGCCTGTGGAGTCCTACAAGGGAGTACACTGGGTCCATGTTCTTCCTGTATTATGTAAATGCCACCGCCATTAGAGCTTAAGACTTTAAGGGGTCGTGTGATTTTTAGGGGGGGGGGGGCATTTATTTTATGATCGGAACTCATTATAGAGATCTTTATGTTAATATTGAGCTTGGAATTTTTTTTTCAATCTCGTTGTTTGGTCGCCATCTTGGAAAATGGCGGCCAAAATGACACAACATTAAATTGAACTCAATTCCATTAATAGTGGTTGAGCAGAGCTAATATATCCATGTATTACATAACTCGGTAAAAGTAATAATACTATATGTGGTACTCTGCCTCGACACAATCTAAAATTCAAGCTACAAATCCTTCATAACATGAAGTTCATTCTCGACATGCAAGTAGGTCGTGAAGTATTACAATCACAAGTCATGTTAGGTTAGTGTGGCAGATAGAGTAAATAACCTGTTCACAACTTAATTTCTTGATTACATTATAAGCGTCTTTGGTATTTATGACTACATAGTACGTACCTGCCCATGTGAATCTGTTTTTGTTATATTACTGTACTGCGCTTCAACAACTAAGATGTTTTCGCGCGTAACAAAATTAGTACTTTCATTATTACACCAACAATTAAAAATCATGCTCCCTTCCTTTAAATCATCTCTAAATAAATATCTATTGTCGAAGTATTAATATTTCTTGTAACACTTACTATATTTACAGTACCTGCTTTTATTGTACCACCAAATCCGTTTTATCGGAAATTATCATGTAAATAAATAAGTATTTACCATTGCAATACACATAATTGCCAACTAGACATAATCCTGAAAGCTCTGTCCTCTTGTTCAACCTTATTACTGCACAACCCAGGTTGTACTGCTCCCCCATTATACTTATGTTTTTAAATTCCACTCTAATTTATATATATATATATATATATATATATATATATATATATATATATATATATATATATATATATATATATTTATATATATTTATATATACAGAGAGAGAGAGAGAGAGTTAAGATAAAAGTTGTGGTATAACACAGCGGCGGATGTTGATAATCTTACAGGTTGTCACACTCAGCACAAGCCGACATGTCTTGGTCTGTCGATCTTGCCAAAGTGGCTCGGTTGAGCCCGGTCGAGAAAACATCCGCCCCAAAAATTAACCTTCTTGTCCTCAAGAATTTCTTCGATAGCAAGAATATTAAAGGAAACACCAAAGTAAAACGCCTGCACCACGGAATTATCAAGATCACGTTTGCAGAGCCTAAACAGGCCACACAACTCGTGGATAACGACACCATCAACGGCATCGAGTTGCACTCATTTGCCTATGTATGGGACAATCTGAAGCTGGGAGTTATCGCCCACGACGAAATAGCCCACATGGACGATGAAGAACTAGAACAACTACTAGACGGACAGCTCGGCGTTGTCAAGAAACTGTCCGAAACTACAGCAGTAATAGGGCACCCCCAGACAATGCCCAAGGAAGTTCAGTTGGCCTGGGTAACCATCCCAGTCAAGCCATACATCAAGCCTACACGCTGCTACAAATGCCAGAAATACGGACATACCGTACACAAGTGCAATGAGCAGGAGGATATTTGCTCCAAGTGTGGAAACACCGGGCATTGCTTCACCTCCTGCCCTAACCAAGAAAAGAAGTGCGCAGCCTGTGGCGGCCCTAATTTCTCTGCCGGCAAGTTATGTCCCACGTGGCGGGAACAATGCAAGGTAGCCAATGTTAGACACGACAATAAACTTGGCTATAAGCAGGCTCTCCTTGCAGTACACGCCCAAAGGAAAAAACAAGATACCAACCCCAAGTCCCTCCAAACTCCACCATCATTCTTCAAGTTCAGTTCCCGTACCACCAATCTACGCACCAGCATGAAGATCCTTTCACACTTTACTTCACTCATCTATTAGATTCGAAGGTTATATATATATATATATATATTGTAGTACATTCGAAGGGAGATAAAAGTTGATAAACAAATCACAAGTTCACGTTGTGAAAAAATCCAAACGTTCTTTCTTTCTTGCGGAAATGGGCTTGGTAAGTAAAGGTTATATTCACTCCACTCACCCTCATAAGTACAAATTTTTATGTCTACTTATTTGTCCATCTATCAGCTTATGTATCTATCCGCTTATCTACCCAATTACTGTATGTCTCTATGGTAACCAAGAAACTTACCATTGTCTTGGGTGATGGCACCGGCCCCTTGACCTGGGGTGATTGATGCCATGATCACCAACAACAAAAGCATCGTCTGTAGAGTCCACCGAAGCCCATCACAACCTACAGGTCGTCCATCACAACCTACAGGTCGTCCATTACCACGTACAGGTCGCCCACCTCTTGGTCCCATTGTAAAGGCACAAGTCACTATAGCAGCAGCAGCAGCAGGAGTATGACTTACCCGAGTCACTTTATCAAGGATACTGACAATAAACAGCACGTTCTCTACCACGTTATCTACAGTACTTTTCAAAGTAGGATGTGAGGGCGCGGGTCCCCTCTCTATCTCTACACCACCCTCAACTTACTTACTTCTCTTACACCTAAAGTACTCTAAAAACAAGTTTATTAATATGCAATCAATGGGGAAAGATATAGTATCACTCATATAACTACCAGGCTCAACTCCTGGGCTTAGTGCAAACTCAGTACTTACTCAACATACTCGTTAATAATTAAACTAGCATATACAGGGGCCCACTACCCAACATGGGATAATTATTTCCAACTAATTATCCCTAACATACATGTTACAACCCTCTCTGTGGACATACACTTCCAAGGAGTAACCCAGGGTAGAGCACTGGGGCCCACGACCGTTGTTATTGTGGGGTAGCCAGACACATGGCGGGTCTGGGGTCTGGCCCAACGAAGCCGTGGGGCACATTAATCAGGCCGCATCGGTGCCATCGTTTCGTATATGATCCCTGTTGGTCATTTACTACATCCGGGGCCGTTGTTGAATGGTTGCAAGAATCACAATGGGATCTGGAGAAATATGGGAGCAGCGTCAGAGAACGCTCTCACTGGCTCGTCTTAGGGTATATATAACCCTGAGTTGCCAGTGATCGCTACTCACGCAATGAACATAAGAACATAAGAATGGAGGAAACTGCAGCGGGCCTATTGGCCCATACTGGGCAGTCCCGTTTACACCCAACCCCTATTGCTCATATAAGCATCCAACCTATGTTTGAAGCTATTCAGCGTATTCGAGTTAATGATGATATTTGGTAACTTGTTCCATTCATCCACCACTCTGTTTCCAAACCAGTGTTTACCTATTTCCCGCCTAAATCTAAATTTGTCTAATTTAAAACCATTGTTACGAGTTCGCTCCTGGTTGGATAGTTTGAGTACCTTTGTAATGTCCCCTTTGTTTAGCCCTGCCTTCCACTTGTACACCTCTATCAGGTCGCCCCTCGCTCTACGTCTCTCGAGGGAATGCAAATTAAGATGCTTTAACCTGTCTCTATACTCAAGGTTCCTAATGCCCGGGATTAAGTCTTGTCATTCTCCTCTGAATTCTTTCCAAGGATTCTATATCCATTCTGTAATACGGTGACTAGAACTGAACTGCGTAATCCAGGTGTGGTCTCACAAGAGCAAGATACAGTTTTAGGATGACCTCGCTAGTCTTGTAACTAACACTCCTTTGTATGAACCTAAGTACTTTATTAGCCTTGTTACGAGCAAAAACACATTGTTTACTTGGCTTAAGGTTCCTACTTATCATTACTCCTAAATCTCTCTCGCAGTCGGATTTCTCTATGGCATCGTTGTTCATCTGGTATCTGGTTTCCCTGTTTACATCTCCCATACTGAGTACTTTACATTTGTCGACGTTGAATTTCATCTGCCATTTTTCAGACCATTCGAAAAATTTGTTTAGATCTTCCTGTAATTTTGCGGAGTCCTCGTCAGATTTGATAACACGTCCTATTCTAGTGTCATCAGCAAATTTACTTATGTTGTTGTCTATGCCGATATCTATGTCGTTTATGTATATAATAAAACAATAATGGTCCAAGTACGAGGCCTGGGGAACCCACTTGTGACGTTGTCTAATGGGGACTTAGTGTCAAGTATCGCTCACTGCTGTTTCCCGTCCTGTAACCACGCCCCAATCCATTTAAGGATGTTACCTTGATGCCATGAGCTTACCTTTCTAATTAGTCTTTCGTGGGGGACTCTGTCGAAGGCTTTGCTAAAGTCGAGATATACCACATCATAATTGTGCCCCTCGTCCACCGATTCGAAAACTGATGAAAAGAATGTTAATAGATTACTTAGACAAGAACGTCCGCTTGTGAAGCCATGCTGGGAATCATTGATCAATCGGTGCTTCTCCAGGTGATTTCGAATAGAGTTTGAAATGAATGCTTCCAGTAATTTGCCTACTATTGATGTTAGACTGATTGGGCGGTAGTTAGAGGATAGTGATCTGTCCCCCTTCTTGAAAATCGGTATTGCATTCGCTATCCTCCAGGATTCTGGTACTACACCTGTTTTTAAGGACATGTTAAACAACTTTGCTAAGGGAATACTAAGCTCTTCCTTACATTCCTTTAATACTCTGACAAATATCTCATCGGGACCAGGTGACTTATTAGGCTTTAGTTTGTCTATTTGCTTACTAACATCGTTACTAGTCACTACTATCTCGCTTAATTTTTTTTCTTCACTATCTCTGAATAGAGTCGATGCCTCGGGTATCATGTTTAAATTTTCGGTGGTGAAAACTGTTGAATAATATTTATTCAAATTATTGCTCATTTCTCTGTCATTATCAGTGAGCTCGCCGGCGTCTGACCGTATTGGTCCAATCTTTTCTCGTGTTTTAGTTTGATACATTTGGTAGAATCCTTTGGGGTTTGTCTTCGCCTCCCTTGCTATCCTTACCTCATTATTCATCTTTGCTTTCCTTATCTCGGTTTTAACCCTACTCGCCAATACCCTATAATAGTCCCAGAGGTGAATTTCGCCACGATTTGTCCTTCTACCTATAGCCTTCCTTTGGCCGATGATGTTCTTTAAATAATTGTTTATCCATTTAGGGTCATTGTTGTCTGATCTGAGTTTTTTGTATGGTATGTTCTGCCTTTGTGCATTAAGTAACTCACCATTTAAATTGACGTGGAACTCGGCAATCTCAGATCTCGTTATCAGGTCGGTGTCATCTGTCAGGTTCACGGCCAAGCGCGACACCCCCTCTCTCAGCTGCCTCTTTAAACTGTCAAAGTTCGCCCTTCTGAAATCTGGTACTTTGGTGGAATTTTCCTTACGTCTGCCTTGAAAATCTAACTGGAATCTAATTTCTTTGTGGTCGCTGTTTGCAAGTTCGTTCCCTACCTCGACACTGCTAATGAGGTTTTCTCTGTTTGACAGAACTAAATCGAGTATATTATTACCCCGTGTGGGTTCGGTTATATGTTGACTTAGGAAACAGTCCTGGATCGTCTCGAGAAAATCCTCTGATTCTGAGTTACCTGTAAGGTCAGTCCAATCTATTTGGCCAAGGTTAAAGTCGCCTACTATACAGACTTTGTTGTGTATGGAAGCCCTGCGCATTTCATCCCAGATAAGTCGCTCATTGACTCTATCAAGATTGGGAGGTCTATATATTACTCCTGTGATTAATTTTTCCCTACCGTCGATTAATTCTATCCAAATTGTTTCTGTATTCCGCTCAGTTTTTATTTCCTTATTTATTTCACACTTCAGATTATCCCTAACATAGATTGCTACTCCGCCTCCTTTCCTGGTCTGCCTATCGGTATGGAACAGTTTGTAACCCGCACTTTGGTATTCGACCGGTAACTCACGTGTGTCTAGGTTGATCCATGTTTCAGTGAATGCTATTATATCTATTTTTTCGGTACATACCAAGTCCCTAATATCATCCATTTTGTTTCTCATACTTCTACTGTTCGCGTATTATACATTTAAGTATATGGCACTGTAGACAATATATGGCACAGCAGAAAGTATATGGTACTGTGGAAAGAATAGACATACCTGACTTCATACACTAGAAAATCTACTTTGATATAATGGTTGTGTTGTAGAGTTTGTTAGTGGTGCAGTGTTGGCGTTGTCTTCCACCAGTGACCCTTGTTGTTGGTGTAGTACGAGTCATCACAATTATCGTGTTGCTATCATTAGTCATACGGACAACCTGAGAGATATGTTGTATATTATCATTTCTACCATTTATTAGAGTCCTCCTCTCTGTACTAATAATATATTTGAAAAATATTAACATAGTAACAAAGAACAGACTAACCACTCGAACGACCAGTAGATTTAACTGCTGACATACAATGACTCACTTTAAAGAGCTGGTTTTCCGGCATCATCGTGGTGTAGCTTAATAAAACCTTTTACTTTTCTATTTCTAATTTCTTTCTACTCTTATCTTTTCGCCCTCTAAGTCCCGTTGTGGGTCGATGACCTGTGCCCGGTTCACTGTCCCTGGTTAAGGTATGCAGTTTTACCTAGACAGTGTACAGTAAATATACAATTTTCAATGTATACTAGAGTCCTAGACAATGATTATTATTATATTTAACAGTGGCGGCTCGTGAAAAATAAAATGGAGGGACTGCAAGCCTCACACAACAGTAGGTGACCTACCTCAGGTATGAGTTGTAGTTGATGTCCACGAATTCCCAGGGCATGGTAGTAGTGCTGGTGGTGATGGACCAGTATTAATTGAAAATAAAGCTGGGAAAAGTTGATGTTTTGCAAATACTTCACTCGATTTTCCATGGTCAAAGGGTAATTAAAGAAAGCACGATTTAACCACACCGTCCACACGTTGTACGAGACTGAGCTGCTTCAAGTGCGGCGGCGGCGGCGGCGATAACAGACATGAATCGTACAGCATTGACAGCAACTATGAAAGTAACTTAAATTTTGGTCTGATTTTAATGAAAGTTCACTTAGCAACGTATTGAAAATAATTAAATAACATATAAAATGATATTTGTTGGTAGTGTATTATTCAGCTGTCTCTCTAAAGGAATCATACGCCTGGCAGTGAGTGTCTGGGGGGACTGCAGCCCTAAGCACGAGCCGCCACTGAGTCAATGAAGGTATATAGTTTTCAATGATAAACGTTAAGACAATTTAACCAAGAATATCCGACAAAACTGTCTGATGCTTAGTTCCACTCGGGTCATTTACTTTTAATCTTTCTTTTATTTATCATTTCAGCAGTTGGGTAGTGGGTACCCTCAGCTTATATCTATTACCTACACGTTGTGTCTATATTCATGGTGAACCAACTGTAATAATGATGATAATAATAATATAATAATAATAATAATAATAACAACAACAACAACAACAACAACAACAACAACAACAACAACAACAACAATAACAATAATAATAATAATAATAATAATAATAATAATAATAATAATAATAATAATAATAATAATAATAGATAATAATAATATAATAATAATAATAATAATAACAACAACAACAACAACAACAACAACAACAACAACAACAACAACAACAATAACAATAATAATAATAATAATAATAATAATAATAATAATAATAATAATAATAATAATAATAATAATAGTAATTAAGGTAAATGTTTTTATTATTATTGTTATTATCACTGACCATTAGCTTACATGAGTAGTTTAGACACTTTAACAGGATGGTTGGGCAGTTAGTGGGAGACTAAGCGACCACAACAGACCGTCGGCGTCCAGGTCAAAGTAACGCCTCGTTTATAACGTGAATCTCGAACTATCAATAACACATGGCTCCAAAGTGCCCAGGAGATTGGTCAGATTAAACAAAATTAATTAAGGGGGAGCCCAGAAAACTGTGAGGGATAACTTTTTCGGAGTGAGAGTTGTGGACTGCCAGAGAGTATTGTGACGGTACGAGTGTGACTGGTTGATACTATGGCCTCCCAGAAGACCCAGGGGAAGTGGAGTGACCTGGTGACCCTGCTGTTGAGGGTACAAGAGGCCCCGAGGTCACCGGGAGAGGAGGTGAGCCTGGCCACCACGCTGAGTGAACTGAGTCAGTGTAGCGCCAAGCTCAGGGTAGTCTATGATCACCGGGTAAGACTATTATGTTTAGTGATGGTATGCAAAATATGTTTCTTGTGCTTTTTTTTTATTATCGAGGTAAGAAAGCTTTTGTTTGGAGACATTATCTCAAGTTGGTGCTAAGGCTGGACTACTCTTGTTAGATTTTACCTCTCGGTCCAACTAATTACCCAAATGTAGCCGGAATGAAGTCAAATAATGGTCCTGGATGAATAAATCGGACTGCCAATCACTTCTTGACTAGTATTTTGTGTCAGAAAGTCACAAAAAATTGGTAAACTTAATTTAATCTGAGTTAATAGATCGAGTGCATGTACCTAACCTAACCTAACCTAACCAAACCTAACACAACACAACTCAGATTAAATTAAGTTTACCATTTTTTTGTGACTTTATGACACCAAATAATAATCGAGAAGTGATTCACAGCCCAAATTACGCTTGTACGACCATCAATTGACTTCATTGCGGCTTCATTTGGGTAATTCCTCGCTCCCTCGGTACATGCGCGCGATGTATTAACTCAGATTAAAGTAAGTTTTCCAATTTTTTGTGACTTTGTGACACCAAATACTAGTCGAGAAATGATTGGCAGTCCAATTTAGTCATCTAGGACCATTATTTGACTTCATTCCGGCTATATTTTGCTACATTTGGGTAATTGGTCGGACCGGTTCAGCATTATAAAAATTTGTTGTGTGTTGTATATTTTTTCTTTAATTAAAAGTAATGGGTACAGTATTGTAGTACAGTATTGTAGTACAGTATTCACAAAAAAATTAATATTTGACAGACCGTTTAAACGAGCTACAAATTTGGTGCCTATATTATTTACTGACTCTGACATAACATTTTAAGAGTTATTCATCCTCTCTATTTCCTCCTCAGCAAATTCACTCGTTGGTTGAGCACTGTGTGTCTGGTATTGTGAGCCCCAAGAGTGCCTTGGTGAGGCAGACATCGCAGCTCCTCGCCTCTCTCCTCAGACGGCAGGGCAGCACAAGCCTGCCATCATTAATACTAGATAAGATCATTGCCTGGCTCAGCTCTGCTCTTCACTATCATGAGAGGGACGTAGATGGCTGGCAAACCGTCCATCAAATATTACGAGCTCTGGCAGATGCCCTGAGAGATGCTCCTGACCATGCTGAGGAGGTGAGGTCTACTCTTTTAAGTATATTATTATTAAGAGCTAATTGTTGGTAAATGCCAGGGTGATTCATATGTTTGTTACCACTGTCACGGTGAAATATTTTCTGCGCCTCAGATTCTTGATTTGTGAAAATGGTTGACACAGTCACTTTAGAGGAACATTGAGTTGTGACACTTTATTTCCTGTGTAATTGTGTAAAAATAATTTTAAATAAAAAAACATTACAGGTTACTGTTATTGTATTTTTTTCACCATTACAGTGGTTACAAATTTATGAATCACCCTTTGTTATTGTTATTTGTGTATTATCATTCATGTTGCATTTGTGAATCCTTAATTAATTGTGACTGATGATAATTTATGGTAAGTTATAACCATTGGTCTTGGTTGTGAGAGTAAGATTAATGCTGTACTGTGATTGCTAAAACTGTCCATTCTAAATATTTCATTGATTTTCACAAGGACAAACTGTATCTTTTATGTTAATGGTGTGTTTAGGGAAACAGACTGCCAGTTAAGGGCTGATAAAGCAATCAACCATCCCACTTCATTGCAATTTCCTCCTATTTGTTGATGGTTGTGAAGCAGTGGTTACCTTCTTGTGGTTGGTGTAATAAACAGCTGTCTACCTAGTACGTATATGTAAATTGCTCACTTCTTGCCAGCTATGGCTGTTTTATTTATATCAGAGTCAATTTACTGTAATGAATTTAGTCATCAGCTGCTTACCTGATATAACAGATGTACAGTACTGTATGTCTCCAAGCACTGCTGACTGTTGTGGGTGATCTTAAGCTGAAGCATCTGCTGCTCACTGGGGACCCAGTGTGGTCTCTATTGCCATGCCTCACATTAACAGGACCAACCAGCTGAGGCTGAGTTACAGTTTAACATTTTCTACCATTTTATAAACTGTAACAAAATGACTGCTGAAGTATATCAGCCACTTGACATACTTTGTGTATTTCTTCCTTAGATTTACCTGAGTCTGGCTGGAAGTAAGGGTTCACTCATCTACACACTAGAGTCCGGTTCTTCGTGCCGTAACCGTGCACTAGCAATGCAGTGTCTTCACCTGTTGACTTATGTCACCCCAGAAGTGGTTGCTGAAGCTCGTCAGCACAATGAAGAGATCTTCCCAGCAGCAGTGGTGTCTAGCATTCAGAGAATTGTTATATATGTTTTAAAACAACCATTACCCAGCCCAGACGTGTGTTCACATAAGTTGTATTTACACCTGGTCGCATCTGCTCTAAGTGTTCTATACAATCTGGTTGTGTGTGCTCCAAATGACGTATTGGGTAATATTATTGTCAGTGCTTGCCGTCCATTTGTGTTCTATGGGTTGCCAGGTTTTGCTCATAATGAACTTGTCAAGCACACAACCAGCCCAGAGGTGGATATTCCTCTCTCATCTGGCATGGATAGTGATTCTTCCTCCAGAGTAAGTAGTAATTGTGTTTTTTTACTGCCCTCAGTGTTTTATAATGCATACTTAGAGATTCTTCATGTTGTTTTATTATACAGTACTGTACAGTATATTAACTTTGATATATCATACACTTTACAATATATTCTCAACACTGAATAATAATTTTGTTAGGTAAGTTAAACTTCCAGATATTTCCTCTCTGGCAACTCTCTTCTACACACTATTATTATTTTTGTACAGTATTATTACTATTTTAATAGACTAAATGATAGGAAAGATAAAATAAATGGTATAATGTACTCTAGGGAAGACTGACATGAAAAATAATTTTTTTTAAAGTAAATAACAAAGAATACTGGCCTTGAGGTCCGATCTACACCAGCATGCTTCTTTTCTTACAGAATTACACCAATCGAAATCGTCGTAAAAGACTTCGTCGAAAACGAGCCCAGCCATCACGGTCCACCTCAGACTGTGAGGGTCGTCCATGTCCCCTGGTGGCGGCTGTGGATGGTCTGGGTCTAGGGTTGCGAGGACCCCCACCAGCAACTGCCCTCGCTAGTGTCTCTCTTAAACCTCAGTGGGCCAGAGGGAAGCAGATACATAACAAAGAAGAGGAGACAATTAATATTTCTGCTTCAGGTGAGATGATTTTTCCAATTAACCTTTAACTTTTAAAAAAACTGGTCGGATATTGAGAGTATTGGCAAAATTTTGTATAGAGGTAAAGGCAGGAGGAGAGGAGAGTCAGGGGTAGGCCAAGGAAGACCTGGGGAGAGGTTCTAAGAAATGACAGAGTTAAGAATGTGATAAGAGGCTGTAAGAGAACGTGCAGTATGGAGGGCTGCCATCAGGTAACATTGTCTAACCTGCGCAAGTGTAGAAATTGACCATAAAATATTGATGATGATGACCTCAACATTCCATAGTTACCACCAAACTATTTGTCCACATTGTGATGAAACATAAAGAGCTGCAATTACTGCCAATATTTACTTGTCCATCTGATGATGTAACATGACTACTGTGGGAGTGGTGTGGGCTACTGCCTGCTTCAGCTGTACACTTCCAGACCTGACTAGTGACTACGGTACTATTCTCTAGCAATTGCTGAGTGAGTACAGTATATCATTAGGGTATACTGTCTAGTCTCATTGTAATTTTTAAGCTATTTGGGAACTGCATATTTTTTGCTTTAGTTTGGTGGACTTCATTATTTTTTTGTTTTCTCACTTAGCACTTGAGGCCGAGCATTCACCAGAACTGTTTTCTCAAGATGAGAGTTTTGTAGAAGCGCGTGTCAGTGGCTCTGAGACTGACTTCTCTGACTTCGATGGAGGAGGAGAAAAGGAGACAACTTTAATGGCTCGAACTCGTCAGTGCTCACTTCAGGCCATAAATGCTGTCATTGATGTAAGTTCGGTGTCGATTATATTTTACTTTTTGATATTAATATTTACCATTATTCAGTGTCTTTATTCTAATGTGTGAGTAGACATTGCTGAAAATCAATTAATTTTTCTAAGTCTTTACTTATTTTTTCTGAAATTGAAATAGCAAAATGAAATGATAACCCTTATTGTCTGTTGAAGCTTCCTGCCAGCACAAGTGTTATATCAACCCTTCAATGATGGCTTCCATCATCAGTGGGAATCTTACCCACCAGTGAAGGGGTTAAGGGTTAATACCTACATATCTTGTGTGAATTGTGACAACTTTAATGTTCTCCCTGGGATGGTCTGTATGAGACTGATGGAAGATATAAGAACTTGTACTCACACTGATCGATAATTAGAGTAGCATTCCGATAGTCAGTTGATCTTATGTCGGGATCAGTATTATTTATTTTGTTTAGAGGCACAGTACTTGATGAAGACTATTTTACTGAGTTAAGCACGAGGACGTTGCATTATGTTAACTAACATGGCTGGGAACACACTATATATTTTTAAGGATTTTACAAGTATAAACTCCTGCTATTGATCCTGACATTATCATTTATTGTCCTTTTTTTTCTTTGAATGAATGAATGTATATCATCAAGATATCTGAAAAGTTATGGGGAATTTTAGTGCATCGATAAAGCAATAACTTGGACAAAACAGTATAATCGTGGTCATGGTTGGATCAATAACTTGGACAAAACAGTATAATCGTGGTCATGGTTGGATCAATAACTTGGACAAAACAGTATAATCGTGGTCATGGTTGGATCAATAACTTGGACAAAACAGTATAATCGTGGTCATGGTTGGATCAATAACTTGGACAAAACAGTATAATCGTGGTCATGGTTGGATCAATAACTTGGGCAAAACAGTATAATCGTAGTCATATTATCATACAGTATAACTGACATATTGTGTTGTAACTAATATATTGTCACTCTTTTTATTCCTTTGCTTTCACCAAGGAGAGTAAGGTAAAGTCACCTCAAGCACTTAATGGCATGTTAGTAATTACATTCTGTATTGTTCTGTTTTAATGGTACAGTATTTGTATGCATATGTGTTGAATGACACTTTGGTGTTTCCTGTTTGTATTATTCGTGGGACTGTTTGCATTACAATAGTTACCTCTACTTCCTCACATACGATGCAAATGGAGCTTCACGGTCATGCACACCTCTTTTACCATATCTACCACATAATATTTTATCCTCTTAACAGATTATCCATTATTTCACATCTTTTTTTTTTTACAGTTGTTTTATATTTCTGTACCGTCATATTGCACGCAGGTAGTAGGCAGCTATCAAACAGGGAGGTACTACCACCTGGGAAGATATTGGAAGCATAATGTGTTGTCTAATGGTAGACCCTGCTGCCATATGGCATCACAAAAATTATGACCAAGTCCCAGGTTGCTGATCTGACTTTCTGCCTCATTTACACACAATTGCAGGGTCTCAATTGTTTCTCTTACTATTGACATCACAACATACATACAGTATATCACTTCTCACTGTTGATCTTTTTTTGATTTTTGTATTTCTTTATAGTTCTTTATTATTATTATTATTATTATTATTATTATTATTATTATTATTAGTGTTATTATTATATTATTGTTATCATTGTTATTATAAAATTTATTTACTATGAATTATTATTATTATTACTACATTTTCAACCCCAGGCCCCGATGTGGGTCAGTGACCTGTGTCCGGGTGGGCTAATCGTTAAAAAAAATAAATAAAATTGTCTCGGTGATAATGTGTTATTTTTCTTTCCCTCGTCCCTCATCTTCCTCTCGTACGTCTGCCAGTACTGTACAGTGGTAGAGCTTCAGCCCAAATAGACGAGCCACCGCTGAAATTCAGTCTTTGATTTGAAGTTTTATTTTATTATTTTGTTTTATTGGGTGGCTATTGTTTGGATGTCATGCATGAAATAATGGTAGGATAAAATCTTCCAATCTGAGTTAATTAGGTACAGTATTACTACCTGCATTGTTCATTGGTGTCCTTGATGGTTAATTATAATAAAGTTTATTATTCAGAAAGTGGGTAAGCAACACAAGTTCAGCTACTGGCCACCTTTAATGTGTCAGACGCCATCCTTGATGACGAGTGTGTTGAAGGACCCGTCTCCCTCTGTGAGAATGGCATCACTCCAAGTCATAAACACTTTTCTCTTGGATTCCTCACAAGTCCTCACCCTTGCTGTTGAGAAGTGAGTTCAGTAATATTGTATAAGTTCACTATATTAGGAGGTGCATATTTGTTTATGAAGTTGACTTTGTATTTGTCGTAATGGATGACTGTCTTCCTTTCTGTTTAACTTTGATTAATTACTGTATGTATTTGTATTTAGGTCTCTTTTTACTATATACCTGTACTATACAGAATGTACAGTATGTCCAAGTAGGAGAGTCACTTGGGGAATTAGTATTTTACTAAAGCATGTATAGTACAGTACAGTATGCCAGTTACACGAGCATTTTGGTGTAACGTAATGACAAAAAATTTACATTAGCTTCTTGTCTGACCGATCTTAACAATTTTATAAGGAATGTAACCTTCGATGTTTTTCTTTTAATAAGTTTAGTTTCATATATTTTTATTTGATCAGAAGTTTTACAAAATGTACATTGTATTACAGTGAGGGAAAGAGTTCATACACCACACTGGGTCACCAGCTCGGCACCAGTCTGCGGGAGCTTCATCGTTGTCTGGCACTCGCCCTGCTCTCAGAAAAGTTTCCTGGTGCCCTTGTTAGAACTCTGAAAACAATTGAGTTGCTTGTTGAAAATGTTAACTATTCCAACCTTAAACCAGGGTTATTAACCAAACTTGTCACTCATGTGAAGTATTTTATGAGGTACAAAGGTCAGTACTGTCGAGTCTTTGTTAAGTATTTTACTGTATCTGTTGTATGCTCCTCAGATACTGTCACACCTTTCCTGCATTTGTCAGCTACACCTTTTGTCTTAATAATGAGTTGCTCATATCCTTCAATGTTTATGTGTAGATGCTGGAGCACATCCTGGTTTATTATATGGATTGTTGGGTTGGGAATTTGGGGGTTGCAAACCAATTCAGCTTTTAACATGGGATCCTATAGGAAAATGGATCCCATTTAGCAAGGATTCACTTAAAAGACATTTTCCCAAGTACACGCATTGATCCTCAAGTTGGACCTTACTGTGCAGGGGAATGTAGGAGGATGAGAGGTAGATTTATGACATGCCTTGCCATTAATCTTGTATTTAAATAGGAATGTGGTGGTGGTGTGAGCTGCAAGGCAGTGTACAGTGAGAAAAATTTTGTGTGAAAGTAGAAAATGAATGAAGATGAAATTCTCTGTGATGGACCATCTTAAAAAGCATGGAGAACACATTTGAAACATTGGAATGATCTGAGAGATTGATTCATTGTCTCTGATATAACTTTTTTAATTTGAATTGGTTCATTTGACTTCTCTGTAATTCCTATTTAGGTGCACTATTCACTTAGTCTCCGGACTGGCTACAGAATCACTAAAGGTTGCTGTTCATGCCAGGCTGCTATAGTACAGTACCACAGTTCCTACACTATTGATGCACAACATGCTTATGGGACCTACTTTCACTTCCACACTTGCCTATTTTTCATTTTTGTGTGTGCAATGCTTCATCATACTCTTATCTACATTAATTCAGTATCTGCAAGGAAATGGAAAATAATGTGAAAGTTAGTGATAAAATACTGTCTAAGTACAGTATGATCAGACTTAAAGTCTGACAAATGTACTGTGTTTAAAGGGGTTTTACTCACTGGGGATGTTATCACTTTCTCTCTGAGCAGTAATGAGTGCAAACATGGATTTTTGGTATACATATGTTGTTTGTTATTTTGTTGTGTATTGTTATAACCCATGTGGTGAGTGCATGTTCAAGGTAGTTACTGTGATATCTTTTGATATATTAATGATTACACCTTACGTAGTAATAAGGGGATGGTGGACCCAAGGCTTGTATATTTCTTTGGGTTATATTGCACCACCTGTAGTATTGTAGTTGTTGTTTGGATAAATCTGCTGTCACTGTTGAAAATTTTATACTGTACTTAATAGACATTCTTTATTTTTGTTAACCCATATTAGAGGCTGTGGTCCGTGCCAATGCCTTCTCTGTGATGGTGAGCGTGCTGATGATCAAGCCACAAGTAGCAGAACTACAACACTTACTGATTAGGTTCCAGACTCCAGCCCCTCCCACTCTGACGTGTCCACCAGAGGTCCTGCCTCCACCGGTTATGGAAGAAGAGCTGCCGGGCCAAGAGGAAGATGAAGCTGAAACTAATTTGAAAAGTGAAATGGAGAAAATGAATTTGGTGAGGACAGGATTTTATTGAAATAGATTACTGTATTTTCATTAACATTAATGTGGCTAAGTTAAATACGGTAAATATATGATTACTGTACTGTACAGTACTTTATTCTACAGATAGTAAATGGTATTAAGCTTGAGAGTTTAATTTAGCCTTTATATTTGGATAATTAATAAATAAGAAAAAAATATTTGGAAGTGAGAATTTGAGAGTACAGTACAGTACTGTGTAGTGTAGTGTGGATTTCATGTCAAATTGGTATAAATAGATATGAGTTAATGTGTGCATTTAATATGTGCCTTAGAGTCACTTAGCAAATTCCTAAGTTAGTTTGTATTTCAGTTAAGTGAGGACGAAGAAGAGAAGACTGAAGATAACGCCCAGGATAAGTCTATGGTGTCGTGGTTAATACAGCGTTGTGTTGACTCCTTGTTGACGCCAGACCATGAAGCTGTGAGGGGCATCTTTATCCAGGTAAGATGTTAGTTATTGTTATACTGGACACAATTTAATCACTAAGAGTAGGAAGTATTGACAGTTTAACTAAAATATTCCCAGCTCACTGACCACAGCTACATAGATACTGTACATAGTAACTGATACCACGTTTAAACTTACGAGTAAGTCATCTTCTCGGGGTTTGATGCATCCTACTATCTAGGCCAGGGTTGTAGGGCTAGTAACACCCCCTCCTAGGCCAGGGTTGTAGGGCTAGTAACACCCCCTCCTAGGCCAGGGTTGTAGGGCTAGTAACACCCCCTCCTAGGCCAGGGTTGTAGGGCTAGTAACACCCCCTCCGAGGCCAGGGTTGTAGGGCTAGTAACACCCCCTCCGAGGCCAGGGTTGTAGGGCTAGTAACACTCCCTCCTAGGCCAGGGTTTGTAGGGCTAGTAACACCCCCTCCTAGGCCAGGGTTTGTAGGGCTAGTAACACCCCCTCCTAGGCCAGGGTTGTAGGGCTAGTAACACCCCCTCCTAGGCCAGGGTTGTAGGGCTAGTAACACCCCCTCCTAGGCCAGGGTTGTAGGGCTAGTAACACCCCCTCCTAGGCCAGGGTTTGTAGGGCTGCCCTATCTTGTTTGTGGAAAGTTATTGTTTAGGTATAAATAAGTTGAGTTGAATCAGAAATAGAATGAGTAATGATTTTCCTTCAGTAATTGACTTCCCTTGTCTAATAGCTTTATTTTTAACTCAGGTTCAGCTTCAGTCACTTAAGGTGTTGAGTGCTTTAGTGAGCGAACACCTGAACATCATCCATCAGAGTCTGCCCTTGATCCAACACGTCATCACTGTGTGTAGTGAAGCTGTACGAGAACCTTTCCATCCAAAAATGACGGACTTGGCACCTGATTCTCATAAGAAATTTGAAGCTGGAGAAGGTTTTGATCCAGCATTCATGTCCCCAGACCCTGGTAAGATACAAGATATAGATAATAAGACTTTCAGAGATTTTTTTATAGTATATGAACACCTCAGTTGGACAAAATAATGACAGGAAAACAAGGAAAGTCTGTGTTTGTTTCTAGCTTCAATTTTTACTATCAGTCAATTACCAATCCATTGAATATTAAAGAATGTAAGGCAGGTAGTGGGTCTGTCACTAGTTATATTAAAACTTAGATTAGTATGGAATTCTTTCTCACCTTTTGGGGAGGTGGGGGATGTTACTACAGTATAATAGGAAACTGTGTCAGGTTCACTCATGGCATTTCTAAAGTGTACTATACTAGGTTTTAAGGTTACAGCACACAGTAGAGAGATGTTCTTGTTAATACACTGTCATGAATAAACCCTTTCATCAGGTGTGGTTGTGGAACATGCCTACATTCTACTTGGCTCTCTGCTGGGAGCAGTTAAGGCTGACCTGGACAAGGGGGCCAATTCGTGTGTGTCTGTCAGTCAGGTCCAGCAGTTGTGGCTCTGGGTGCTACAGGTAACTATCATCTCCTTTTTTGGGTCTTGATGATTTTGAAGGAAGTGTGCTGGAGATTTATTAATTCCTACACTGTATTATAGTTCCCACGGTGTACAGTATGAGTGTCCACAGTTTATTTATTTATTCTATTTGGGTAAAGAGGCACAGAGAGAAAAGTTAAAAGAATTTGGTGTGTAAGTTTGACATAAATTTAATTTATAAAGTATTTGATGTATGTTTACGTAAAAAGAAGTACAGTATCGTACAAATTTAAGTACTGTTAAAGTATTTGGTGTAAGTTTAGGTAAAAATAGTATTAGTTGTAAATAAAATGGTATCTGACATGAGTTTAACGTTGTCTTTTTCAGGGACCCCTACAAATACTGTTCAAGCAGGCAGCAGCAGAGCAGTCCAGAGGTAGTATGGAGAAGGGAGGAGCCCCAGCAGGTGAGGGAAGACTACAGTATTCTTGATATTGACTGGTTGTGTAAAATATAAAGACAACTTGTATGTGATCTGCTTCTTCTTTTCTTCTCAGCTTGTGTATCCTTACTGCTTCTTCTGTATTCTTGTACAAGGCCTACTGTCCCATACCTAGGCCTACTGTCCCATACCTAGGCCTACTATCCCATACTTTTGGTCACTTCGCATAACTTACACCGGTTAGATTAGGTTAAGTTAGATTAGTAGAGAATATCAGTGGAACGAGATCTCCCACTGTAAAGATTTGCATACTATATTACAAGGCATCACATTTAGAAGGGGCATTCTGTAATTAGCAAAATGACACTTCAATATACGTATGCAGGATTAAGGTGATGCATCTAAAAACACCTGTAACTCGATGTGATTATTTTTTTTTTTAGTTGCGATGAATATTCAGATTATTGCCAATCCATTTTGCAAGTTTATGTACCCAAGTGAGATATTTTGAATATAATTACTAATAAGAGTAGAATGTGTTATGATATTTAGAAAGAGAAGATACCCACAGCATGAGACAGTCCTTATGGAGATGTCTTCTGCCTTAGTAAATCTTTTGTGGATTATAAATAGAGTCGAGTTACTATGTCATATGTGTAAATCAAATATTTTTTGTAAGTATTGTATATTAAATCAGCATTGTAATAATCTGTATGTTATCATTAATTCAGATTTCTGTTTTTGTCAGTTGATCCTCCGAAACAAGATGTAAACTGGAGGAACAGAGATGCTCTTCTTTTGGAAAGTCTTGAGGACCGACTTAAGCAGACGGTGGCCATTGCAACTGTTCTCACGCACTTCAGTCCTTCTGTGAGTTTTAAGATACAAATAGTTTATATACTGTAATTTGTTACTCCCAAGACTCCTATTTAACCCATTTTTTAGCACTTAAACAGCAGCCATCAATAGTGATAGTTTTTTATGATCTTATTTACTGGGTTTGTTGTTATTGTTTCATTCTTCCTTCAGAATGCCTTTTGTTTTTGATAAGTGTATCTAAAATCCTTGGGAAGCGAAGGAGCTGCCTTGTTCATCTTGCCATCTGCTTGATTTACAACTAATGGACAGACACCTGCATCAGTGACATCATCCCTCATCTGCTGTATCCAACCAAAATGAACAGACTAAAGTGCCCTTCCTCCTCTCCTTATGTTACTTATTTCTTTCTTATCTCACACCCATTCCTCCATGTCTCACCCATTTCTCATCATCTCTTCTATTCTTCTTTGTCACTCATCCATTCCTGTCTCCCAGCCATACTTAATATCTTTCAGCCATTCCTCTCATCTTTCAGCCATTCCATTCATCTCTCAGCCATTCCATTCATCTCTCGGCCATTCCTCTCATCTCTCAGCCACTCCTCTCATCTCTCAAGCATCTCTCCTTGTCTCATCTATTCACCCAGCAGTAACTCGGTAACAATTACTCAGCTTCTCTTTGTTTATTCACCAGATTTTTGAGAGCCTTGGGGAGGAGTGCATAACCCTGATCATAAAAACTGTCAAGTGGCTGGTCACCCACGAAGACCCGGACCTTCGATTGGCCGGTGCCCGCATCATGGCCATTATAGTCAGTTTTCCTGGTGTTGTGGGAAATTCTGGCGGGGTGAGTCTCTTACAAGCAACGGTCATGACGACGTGTGATCTGTTGACCCAGAGAGAGAACAACGTGAACAGATATCGTCTCCTGGCATCATGGGCACTGGCAAATGTGTCCTCGGTGTTTGAACTTTATGTGTAAGTTTCACATGTAGTTTCACTTCCATGGTTCACCTTCCATTGTACTTGGTTAATTTTTATAGGCAGTTTTATAGGAAGTCTTACTGGTTATGGTTATTTATCACCGACACATTTTTATCTTTTGGGAATCACTCTGAAATAACTTTAGCTATTGTATGTTATATTATCTTTATTATTATAGACCCTTCAACATCATTTTAACATTTGCCAAACATTTCCATCTACAGTATTGTACTGTACTGTATAGTGGTTTGATTGGTGTGTTTGTGAAGCATTTGTCACCTGTTTGTAGAGAGAATTATGAGTATTGTATGTGAAGATGGCTAATTTTACCTCAACAGGCACAGTATACAAGAAACAAAATGATCATCTTTACCTTTCAGTGACAGTTGGAAGTGCCAGGAACATGGTTCTGGTAATGAAATCTTATCACCAATGCTCATTGTGCAACTTTTGGAGGTGGGAATCAGAGCTTGTAAGGATAAAGATAAGATCAAGCCACATGGTGTACGATGTGTAGGAAACATAACAAGTTTCCTTCGGGCTGAACAAGCAGCTGACCCCACCATAGCCCCTCTTGTTTCCAAAGCAATAGACACTTTGGTACTCTGCTCCAGCACTGGAAGCAACATGAAGACCCGGTGGAATGCTTGTCGTGCCCTTGGAAATATTCTTAGCAGCGGCCGCTTACCCATTGCTGACATGCCATGGAGGGTACAGAGTGATAATAGTGTTTATTATTATTATTCATTAGAAGTTTAGTTAATAAAAGATTACTTTAGTGGTACACATAATTCAGGTACCTGTATTTCTTACTACAGTACTTGAATGTTTGTGTGCAGTCATCACAGTCTGTAATTATATATTTGTAAGATTTTGGCATTGTTGACACACATGGGTATGCCTGTATAAAGGTGTGTTGATGATGACATGTATGAAAGATTATGATCTCATGGTAGGTCCATTTTCTCTCAAATTAAAGTTAAATGACTTAATTTTGTTCATTGCAAGACTTGTTCTACCTTTCCATCTCACTTAATACAAAATGAATTAGATTTGGCTGAAACAAAAAACTAGTTATAATACCCACTTATTATGAAATAAATTTAGTCAATTCTTTAAAGGAATTATGTTGTGTGCTCTCACCAGATTTTAGTAAACCCATTGCACAGTTTTTTGTATTGTACTCTCAGAACTGTTCCTTTAACATATTATATACATCCACAGAGCCAAGTTCTGACTACTCTTGGCAACCTGGTGGAAAGCTTCAAGAACTACAAAGTGAGGATCCAGGCTTGTAGTGCCATATGTAGCCTGAGGTCTCGGGAAGAATTTGGATCCGAATATTATGGGATATGGCGGGTGTTGCTCCACGGACTAGATAATGCTCAAAATATTATTGACTACCAAGAGATACGACATAGGGATGAACTCATTAATCAGGTCTGTACAGGGATGGAGTGGTAGTAAGCCCCACCCTCATGCCAATTTTTGATGGTTTGTTTTTTAAATAATTTAAAAGTTAGGATTTTTTTGTGTACATACACTTTGCCTTCTGTATTAGTAAAAATTGCACCACTTATTATTCTTGTGAACAGTAAGAAGAGGTTGTAATCTTTTTTTTTATTCTGCTACATTAGGCAGAATGCAGTGGATATTTATAGTACCTGTACAAGCACTGTATTTGAAATAATGCAACGGTATATTTGTATTTTGTAAACCATTGTTGTGTCTGTTGTCAGATATGTGAAGGCATCTGTCAACTATCAACTCATCTTACTCTGGAGGATGCTGGGTCACTGTGTGAACTGTTACAGCTACATCAGGATATGGCAACACCATTGCTGAAGAAGGCTTATCTCTCTCTACCCCCGGAGAGAACAGGACACGCTCTTAAAGCTCAGTCAAGGGTGGAAGAGCTCTTGAGTTATGATGCCCTTACAGAATCACAACAGCTGGCCTTGATTATACTGAACAGTTTGACTGCTGCTCCCACAACTACCAACTTTACCTAAGTTTATGGCTTATATGTATACAGTACAGTATATGTAAGTGAAAAGGTGCTATTGCATATTTATTTTAAACTCTTATTAAATCTCCCGGGACAGCAGGACGTTTCGGAGAATTTTCTTGTAGAGAAGAGAAAATTGAGACTATTAGAGGGTGTGGTGGTAGGGGGTGTGGCAGTAGTGGGTGTGGCTGTAGAGGGTGTGGCAGCAGTGGGTGTGGCTGTAGAGGGTGTGGCAATAGGGAGTTGCCCAAATTAAAAATATTGTTTGTTCTACTAAGCATAATTTTATATTTTTCGTTTATATAAAGTATTGATCACTTGTATATGACTCTTATGTTAAAAAAATGTGATCACAATTAAAAAATAAATGGAAATGTTAACCTATACAGTATGATTTATTATATCTCTAACTTTACTGTTCATTAAGTGTAGTGAATATATCCCTTTATATCATTAGGTGTAATGAATCTTTACATCTGTGGTGAAAGATAAATACTAGACATAAGAAGATTTACTATTGGACATAATAACATTTTAACCACATTTGTTGCTGTACTATTTTATTACTGTAGAGGTAAACTTATATTACAGTGAAATATAAATACATGTACAGTACACAAACTATTAATGCCATGGTTAAGGAATTACAAAATGAATGTACTGTAACTCCTACCTATTATGGAACAGGTTAATTATATACTTATTTCTTTCATTGTATGTTGCAATGGTGGACTAGCTAACCTAATCCATTGATGATGAAGAAGGATTATAACCCACCAAGTTGGAGTGTACAAGAGTTGAAAGTTAAACATTGTAGATGGTGTATGTAACAGTGTTAAATATGACTCTTGGAATATGGTTCATGTATATTTTCATATATTCTTTGTCAACATTAAAAGACACAATGTTAGATGGAGTTTTGCTACTGACTTTTGTGTTTTAATAGGTTTACCTTTTTTATTTGGACATTCTAGGTTTTTGTTTTTGTATTTAAAATTTTCATTGTAAGGTACATTAAGAGGGAAGATCACACGAATGTTTGTATTACAGCAGCTTCAGTGTCCTGCACTTGTGGCAGTCCTCGTACATCAACATGTGACGACAATGCCGTTGTTATAATACTGTATTGTACAAGTATTTATGTGATCTCCAAGAAAATACGTAAGGCAGTGTGTATACTGTACATTTTTCTGAGACCTCTTACAGTATATTTCATAAGCATCATCAGACTTCAGTACAGTATCTGAGATGAAATGTTATGCCGGGACTGTTGTGTAATGTTATTTGTGCCTCAGTTTAGCCAGATGGGAGAGTGAAAGCAAAGGAAACAGAAGCTATTACAGTATTAGGAATTTTAATCATGGCATGTGTTTTGACTGTACAGTCTTCCTCGCTCTTCTGAGGAAGACTGTAAGATCAAAAAAGGTATCAAGAGGAATATTCCCAACATCCTTGAGTGTTTCCTTTGCTACCACAGTCCCATAATGTTATCTGATAAGTGAACTTATCAGATAAGTTAAGGGCTGCATGAAACTGACTCGCCCAGATATGCATTTCTAACGAACACAGTGACCGGATCAGCAATGTGAACGTGATTTTTTTATAAGTTGTTATGTATTACATTCAAACATTGGCTCTACTCTTAGGCTTTACTCTAAGAGTCACCTCAGCTCTCTATGTTGATCCAGGTAAGTCAACTCTGTACTGTACTGTGTTATTAAGTCAGCTGTGTTAGCTTTCAATTTATTCTTTACAACTAAAAGAATACAATATTCTCTTTTTACATCCACAAATGAAGTCACTGAAGATCTCTGATGGCAAGATATTGCAAACCAGACTTTTTTTTCCTTTCTTTTATTCTGGTACTGTGATAACTTGTGTGATTGATAATCTTTCAGTTACATATTGCACAGCAAGATCATTTGATTTAACACCCAAAAATATGTGTACAGGGTACTACTTAACCTAACCTTATATAGAGGCTTAGGGGTTGTGTTGTTTAGTGTAGAGTAATTTTTATTTTTACTCTCTAATATACTGTATAGATCCACAATGGAAACATGGACAAGGTACATCTCAATAAAACCACACAGTCAAAGGGAAACAATAGAACTTCATTGTTTCCCTTTTCCTGTGTGGTTATATATATATATATATATATATATATATATATATATATATACATATATATATATATATACAGTGGTCCCTCGGTTAACGAGCACAATCCATTCTAGAAGGTTGCTCGTTAACCGAAAAACTTGTTAACCGAAACCATTGTTTTAATGGGTTTTTGGGTAATTGGTTCCAGCTCACCGAAAATTGCCTAAATTCAACAAAAAATGTAAAGTACACTTACTATGAGGTGTGTATGTAGAAGGCTCCTGGATGATGATGATGATGGGCATTAGAATGGGGGTGGAGGAGAAGGGAGAAGAGAAGGCATTGGGGTGGAAGAGTCACCCCATGGTGCCATTTCACCCATAAAATTTTAGTTCTCTTGGTGTAATTCAAGATTATGTTCTTTAAATCAACACTGCACTGCATTATATGTTGTCAATATGTAAATTAATTTCAAATTGACCAATAATTTGCTTGGAAACACAGAAAAAAAGCATTTAGTGGAAGAGTCTCAAGCAAGATGTTACCTCCACTGAAAAGACAGAGACTGACGCCTGTATGGTGTGTTGACAGGCTGTACGGCGCGCAAAAAACTAGCTTCCTATTCTTCAATTATGTTCAATAATTGTTAAAATGACTAAAAAATTTAATATAAAACTTTTAAAATTATTGAATAGTATAAACTTCTTGATATTTACTAAAATAGTAAGGAATTTAAGCCTTTGAACCGATTACTGTATTGGTGGACTAATACTACAGATGGTGGACCGCCAAATGCAAGCGAAAACATGTTGAGGTCGGCTCGTAAAAAACTCATTAATTGGGGGAATGCTCGTTAACCGAAGTTAAGAATCTTATGGAAGGTAACTCGTTAACCGAGGGATCACTGTACTGTATATATTTTCTCTCAATGTCTTATTTTCCAGGATGTGTAGTTAAATCAGAATGGAAATCAGATTGGTTATGGTCAGATGCCCACCTCACTGCATGGGTTCCACCTGGCCACAACTCTGCTGTTTTCACCCTGCTCATCAGTTTGGGTGAAGATGGTTTTCCTGTTACCTATGACAATATTACCTTGACTGTCAGTGGTGTAGAATTCTGGCCGGTCAGGTACGGGGAAGGAACTAAGGTGAAACAAGGCTTCGCAGATCCTTTAGGGAGCGGGTGGCAAGAGTTTGGGTTCACTGCAACATCCCGTTATGAGCTTCAGTTCTTCAACTTGAACAAGAATATACCATTGAACACAACTGTGAACTTACCTGTCAAGTCCATAGAGCTGACAGGCAGCAATATCACCCTCAACTGTCCAAAAAGTAAGTCTTTTGACTCTCTACAGGTTAAATATTATCCAGCAGTCAATTAGGCTGATAAAAAATGAAAATGTATAGAAATTTATGTAAGAATATCATTGAGAATTGTTCCAGTTGTACAGTATATTGTAAAGAATATTTGTTATGAACATCAGAGAAACATTTTTAAGTAATGTGTATGATGCACTGTGTGACTCAATGAAACAATGATTGTTTATTTATAATACAGTACTGTACATACACCTATATCATTATTCTCCTTGCTTCCTTGACTGGATCTCAAACTGTACATGTTCCCTCAATGTACAATGTCTACAGTGAAACAATCATTATGGTTGCTTTCACTCCTCGACTAGATAAAAAAAAAACTTACTCTTTGCTATTAAAAGTGGTCCTCAGGCTTTATGGCCATTTAGGGGCAGTATGGGTACAACACAATGAATAGGAAACATTAAGTTGGCTGCACAAGGAGGTAGCATCACTGAAACTACTCTCAATAGCTGGGTGGACTTGAGGTGCCTAGCTAAGTTAGAACCAGCAACTCTTAGGATAGGAGGCGAGCACTGTGCGCACTTGGCCGCTGCACCCCTTATTTTCTATGCAATCTATTATTGTTGTTTTAGTGAATGAAAGCTTTGGGTACTGGATGCTGTTGTACTGTATAGAATGACATTTAGGAAGCTGATAGAGTACAATGTTGAAAGGATGGGATACAGATGACCAAGGATGCCACTTATAAACGTGGTAAAAGCTAGAATGAAAGTGCCTGTACTCTACAGTACTCTACTTATGCCAAAAAGGTCGCTGACATGATAATGGTGAGGCTAATCTTGATTCCTGGTGGTCAGAGATGCTGGTGTGGGCTGTGAAGAATAAACCAGCAGTGGTCCCCCTGGATTGTAAAGAAGACCATTGGTTGAGCATCTTCTCCAGCAGTAGAGTGTCTCCCAGTCTCACACTAGGTGAGAGGAAAGTAAAACTGGGCTGGATTAACAATGGTCTGACAACAGTGGGTGGTTCTAACATTCCACTTCCTGCCTTCACACAACACTACATTACCCTGACCTGTGGAAATACCAGTGGCATCATGTGTGATATAAAGGTTGGTCAAAGAGTATTTCTTGCTACATATGATATTACAGTACCTGTATTTACAAAACTCGAGAATCAGTTGCACAAAATAAAAATGCAACTTGCAGCTGCAAGTTCATCGATGTTCACACAGTTTATTTCTCTACTGCACACATAAATAATTATTCTTTGAACTCAGCATTAAGACTGATTCCTTACTCTTGTATTCATAAATTAATAGTCATTTTAAGTTCCTCTCATATTAATGAAAAATAAAATGTTCATCCACACTATACATTTTCTTTGACTCTTTGGTTAAGAAATCAGCCCATCAGGTGTCATCATTATGCTGGGTGCTTTAGCTGTTGCTTATATAGAGATTAAGGAATAGTACTGTATAGTACATCAGAATGATTAACAAAATCACATAATCAAATACTACACTGTATTTGTGCCTCTAGGCACTGATCTATATAAGAATTTTCCGCATAAATATTTCCTCTCTATTATCCTGTCTATAGTTCGGTGAGACAAGAACCTATTCAGAGTCCCTTAAACAAAGTGAGTGGCCAGGAAGTGTGATGGTTGAGGGGCGCTCGGGTGATGATTTTTTCCTCCTACTGCACCTCCAGGACCCCTACCCTCCCAGCCCACAACCTGCCACCATGAACAACACTGATGCACCATGTGCTGTGGCTGCAGGTGAATGACTACATATAAAGTACTTGTCTTTCCTTTTACTGTAGAGTTGAATTTTGAATATACTGTACAATTTCACAGTGCCTTTTAGGAAATGTCTTATAAGTTCATCTGTCAACTACTGTATGTGTCTTTAAGCACTATAATAGCCAAACACCTAAGATAGTTACTAATCCACTTAGTTTACTCAGTTAATCCTTGCCAGACATCAGGCGGTCAAACATACGGTATGAAACTCCTTTCAATTCATCCACATCATTCAGTACTGTACCGGTACTGTATTACTGTTTATACATTTTAGTCCTCTCTCCTGAGTGCCTACCGGGTAATTTAACAGCCTTCCATCTCCTTAATGCAACCCCTCCAAGTATTCTTATAAATATCTTTGTTTCTGAATTACTGAGTATACCTGTATATTCCTTACTATCAACCTTCCCTCAGTGCACATTTCCATCAGTCTCCTTATTCATTCATTCACGGCAGTCCATATTTCTCACAATATCTTGCATTTCCAAATCACTTTTTCTCATGTAAATTTCCAATTGCTATCACTATCACGATCTCACAATGAAGCTTTTAATGCAGTTTATATAGTGTTTTGGGGAACCTCTCTCAAAAACTCCTCCCCTTTTTCATTCCCTGACTCATACTGTACATACAATAATGTTAACCCATTATTCATTCCCTAATTTTATTACTGTTTTGTGCAATGCCTGATATTTTGGGATTGACTGGGATATATTCCATGAGGCAGCTCTACCACACCTCTCACACTCACTGCCCACAGGCTTCACCTTTGCCCTTTATCTTTGTTTTGCATAAAACCAAGACATCCAGGATTGTTTTGCTCTCCATTGCTTCTGTCAGTCATTTCATAACATGCTGATTACACCCACATATGTTGAGACACCGGAGTCATATTCTCTCCTTTTTCCTCATTTTGGTAATATAAGTGAATACAAGAGGAGGGGTTACTAGCCTCACTTCCCGGGACTGGGGGAGGAGTAAGGTAGTGATGCTCCCAAGCAGGTAAACTGCCCCACAAAGAATTATTATAGATATTTTGCTAAATTTGCTAAATACAGTACCCAGTTTTTATTTAAATATGTAGTACAGTACTGTACTGCAGATGGCTAACATTAAGATATTGTACGTGTTATCTTGTACACAAAAGCTGATAGAATCACAGGAACAATATCCGCCCCAGGTAACACGGGGGGAAGATACTTCAGGTGGAAACTTTGGGAAGGAGATTCTTCAGGTGATCTGACTAATGTATTTTGTTTTTTGCCACAATAACAGGTCCAAACACAGTAGCCATTGCATTAGGTGTTTTGTTATTGTTGGTGGTGGGAGCAGGCCTAGCATTGGGCTACTTTTGTTACTACCGGTACCTCCCTCGGGTAAGTCACTGCCATTTCAAAAATTAACAAAATGAACTTAGTCATCTATTTCCTATGATAATAAATTAATAAACTGAAATGATAAAAGGAATTAACTGTGTTCTGAGAACTGGTCAATAAGTCTTATCAACCAGGATTGGCTAAAAGAATTACCAATATGAAACTAAAAGAAGTTGACACTAATGGTCAGGAAATATGATATTGTGCACTGTACTGAATAAGTTGATCTTTTTTCAGGTGATATAGACTGTAGAGTATGATGGGCTTTAGAGACAACCTATTATGATAGATCATCCAGTCTTAGAGTAAACTAAATTCATTTCATGATATAAGGACTATGAAGCAGAAATTAGTTGTTTAAATAATGGGTTATGATTAGTATTTGTTCGAACATGTTGCCAGCAAACAAGCAGAGGTGGGCGATTGGAAGATTGTACCGTAATATCCTCTTGTGTTGGTAAGACCGAGCATTGTCCAGATATTCACCACAGTTCATTCTTGTATGCATCTCACTGAGGACAGGTTGTGTTGCAGAGGCTAAAGGACAAGACTTCAGCTGGAGACCTGGAGATGCCAGAGAAAGAATCTCTTTTGAAATCTGGCAACAAATATCCAGCTACAACAGAGCCGGTTTGTTGCCATTGTACTAAAAGGTGGTACATAAGTTCCGCATCATAAGGAAAAATGAAAAACTTACAGTAAATGTTCAGTTTATTGTTCATCAAATGTTCAAATTGCTTTCCTTTGGCCTGTATACACATGCTGAACTGGCTGAAGCAAGAGAATTGAACTTTTTGCATCATTTCAGCACATTCTGAGTTTATTTTGTCCTTCAGTTCATTATGGGTCCTTGTTCCGGGGACCTGCACAGCCACTTTACAGGACCTCTCGTCCTATCCATATGATGCATCACTTATGCACCACCCTGTATTGAAGAGGTAGAGGAGAAATTTAAGAAATGGAATGATGGAGCAGAGGCAAAGGGCCTGAGAGTGAATGTAACAAAAACGAAAGTATTGATAATTATTATTGGTGTGGATGAGGACCTGTGGTGTAAAGTGAAAACTGGCCTTGTGCTGTCTGTAAGAAAGATGTTGACAGCAACTCAATAATGTGCAGTGAGTGTGGAAGGTGGGTACACAAGAGGTACAGTGGAGTGGAAAGTAGACTGCAGGATGTTGCTGACTTTTAAGTGTTCTGTGTGTGCAGGTAACCATGTGCCCACAGCAAGGCTGGAGAAACTCAACATATATATACGCTGATAACCACAAGGAAAAAGAAAACACGTTGGTTATCAGCATATACCTAGATCACGCGCACCTACAGTGATTTACTTGCATATACAGTCAATCCTCACATTACGCGGTCCCGCATTCCGCGTTTCACCGTTAACGCGGTGCCTTGCCAGAACCTAACATGCTCACATTCCGCGGTCGTGAACCCCATTACGCGGAGAGCGGCTGGCAAGCCGCGCCATTTTTGGATCCAAACCTCCCGCCATCCGCCATGTTGTGTAAGAGGCGCGAAAATGGTGCGCACAAGGTCGCCCAGTCATCAAAACATTACCGAGTTCTTTACCCGCCACCCACCACAACCGGCCCAAGTCAGTGATAGTGATAATTATAGTGAGGATATGGACTTATATGGACTTTGAGGGGTTTAACAAAGAGGCCCTGCAAGCCTCTGTGGTGGATAGTGATACAATTGATACCAGTGATACAGGTGAGGGCCAATAATCTGCCCTCTGCCTCGGAACCAACCCCCCATCCCCGTGTGCCCAGCCATCTTTTCTACTAATGTAAGTGTTAAAAAACCTAATATTATTGATATTTCTCTTAATTATTAATTGTGTGTGCATGCCATCATAAAGTTAAGATAATATTTTTACTACAACATAGTTGTGTGTCGTCAAAAAGTGGAGTTTGGGGATCGGCCTGGACTCCATTTCAATTAATCCCAAATGTTATGGTGTTCACTTTACGCGTTCCTCACTTTCCGCGGTACCCTCCGGGTTACATTAACCGCGTAATGTGAGACCCAACTGTATATATATATATATATGCAAATAAATCACTGTAGGTGCGCGTGATCCAGGTATATGCTGATAACCAACGTGTTTTCTTTTTCCTTGTGGCTATCAGCATATATATATATATATATATATATATATATATATATATATATATATATATATATATATATATATATATATATATATATATATATATATATATATATATATATATATATATATATATAAATAAAATGATAAATAAATAATGATAAAATCACACGGGAAAATGGAAACAACGGAGCACCTTAGCTTTCGTCTTTATTCAAGACATCTTCAGAGGCAACTGAAGATGTCTTGAATAAAGACGAAAGCTAAGGTGCTCCGTTGTTTCCATTTTCCCGTGTGATTTTATCAAGATATACAGTGGCCCCTCGGTTAACGAACTCAATCCGTTCCAGAAGGTCGTTCGTTAACCGAAACCATTGTTTCAATGGGTTTTTGGGTAATTGGTTCCAGCTCACCGAAAATTTCCTAAATTCAACAAAAATGGTAGAAAAGTTCACTTACTTTGAGGTGGGTATGTAGAAGGCTCCTGGATGATGATGATGATGATGGGATTTAGAATGGGGGTGGAGGAGAAGGAAGAAGAGAAGGCATTGGGGTGGAAGAGAAGTCACCCCATGGTGCCATGTCACCCATAAAATTTTAGCTCTCTGGTTTAATTCAAGATTATTTTCTTTAAATCAACGCTGCACTGCATTATATATTGTCAATATATAAAATATATTTCAAAATGACCAATAATTTGCTTGGAAACACAGAAAAAAAGCATTTAGTTGAAGAGAGTCTCAAGCAAGATGTTACCTCCAGTGAAAACAGAGAGACTGACGCCTGTTTGCTGTGTTAAGAGGCTGGATGCCGCGCATTAAACTAGTCACTTTACCTTCAATTTCGTTCAATAATTGTTAAAATGACTAAAAAATTGAATATTAAACTTTTAAAATTATTGAATAGTATAAACTTCTTGATATTTACAAAAATAGTAAGGAATTTAAGCCCTAGAACCGATTAATGTATTGGCGGACTGATACTAAAGCTGGTTGACCGGTCAGTGCAAGCGAAAACATGTTGAGGTCGGTTCGGCCAGAGTTAGATTAGCGAATTTTTTAGATTAACGAATTGAAGATCATATGGAAGGCAGTTCGTTAATCGAAATTACGTTAACGAGGTGTTTACGAGGTCATAATATATATATATATATATATATATATATATATATATATATATATATATATATATATATATATATATATATATATATATATATATATATATATATATATATATATATATATATATATATATATATATATATATATATATATATGCGTACTGTACTAAATGTCACATCTGAAGCAAAACTTGGTCTTCTATAATATTCTCTATGGTTGAAAACAAATGTTTGGTGCAGTTACACAGATAAGAGCATTGGATGTGACTGTAGAATTTGGGACAATGAGATCAAGAACTGTGAACACTGAAATTCAACACACAACTAAAACCCGAAAGTAAAAATTATTTCTCTTGGTCAGTTAATGACTTTCCAACTGCTGTGCAAGAACTGTAGTATGAACTAATCTCATCTTATACTGTATCATTCTTGTTGCCTCTGTAGTGTTGCTCTCTCTCACAGTCACAAAAGTCTTTACTATGGAATGCTGTGATGTCCAGTTGTCCCGAGAAGATCAGCCACTTGGTTGAACAATGTGTACCTGTGAACCGAAACACCTACATTGAGGCTAACATCCTGGGCTCCCAGCAAGTTGTGGATGGTCTAGCATCCGTGTCCCCGCCCATCCCTAGAGATGAATTAATCAACGAGGTTATGAAGGTGATCTTACTTTTTTCAAAATTGTTCACTTGTGTTGTTATTTTTTCATCAACTACTGCCCTTCACTGGTCTCAGTCTGAAGGAGTTGCAGTTGTGTCAATTTATACAAGGTCAGTAACATTAATGTTTGTGATCTGTAAAACACCAACTTAACCTAAGAGACTTTCTCCTGTAATTAACAAGTTCAACTCACCTTATGACAGTGAATATATCACTGTACACCAGTGGCTGTGTAACTACAAGTTCACTCCCTCTTTTGTGGGCTGGTTGATAATAGGAGTACGAGTGTCGTGTGGATAAGATTTTTGTTGCCGCAATTCTTGGCCAGTACAAGTGCTATGGTGGTGTCGATGTTCTCCTCCGGAGCTATCAGTTGTCCACCTTGGTGAGAGACAAATATGGTCGCAATATCATCCATTACGCTGCTTCTGCCAAAGGCAAGGATGGAGAACCACTCTGGCAGGCTGTTGACGTCCGTACTCTCGTCAAGGACCAAAACTGTCTTCTCAATGCTCGTGACTATGAAGGTGAGATCGTGGTGAAGTATAACAAGTAAGGTAGAAACATTAAACTCTATCTTGTTTATAACTTTTTAAGAATATTGTATATAAATTGCACAATCAGTGACTTGGAAACAAGCCGCCAAATAAACTGCTTAATTTATCAGTTGCTGTAAGATGTTGTACTCATTTTAGTTCAACTTCATGATGCAGTAAAATCAAGAATATCATTTAACTCGTAGTGCATTTAATGTTCTGTACACAAGTGTGATCAAACTGTAGTGTCTATACAGGTTGTACATGTCTCCACCTGTTGGCTGAAGCAGCAAACATTATGGACCTGATGATCATCTGGGATGGTAAGAAAGTTACTGTTTCTGCTGCTTGGATAAAGATGGCCAATATACTCATCTCAGCTGGTGCTGACCCACGATTAAACAACAATGAGGGTCAACTGCCTCAAAAAATTGCCAAGAGGAAGGGAAAAATTGAGCTGTCAGAATTGTTGATTAAGGTTAATGATATTCAGTACTGTATCTGTATTTCATTTTGTCAGCTTTCACTGTTTATGATTATTTTTGAGAGAAAGAGATTTCATTCACATCCATGTTATCAATAACCTTAACTTTTCTTGCACCACACAGGAATGCAAGAAACTAGGAGACATCACCCATAAAGATGTAGATGAAAAGTTTCAGAAATTGGTGGAGGCTGTCCATGCTAATGACCTAGAAACCTTAAAAAAGTCACTGCAGAGCAACACCCCATTACTGCCACTGGGGGCACATGTAGACCCTCTGACAGAGGCTGTGAAGTATGGTCATCTTGAAGTTGTGTTGCTACTGCTTAGTGCCGGGTCGCCCCTCTGTGGACGCTCACTCGTCTCCATCACTGCCCTCGAGGGATCTCATGGACGTCCTCGGCTCCCAGCCATCTTCCCTGCTATTATGAGGAAGGTGAGGGTTCCTGGGATTCTGTGTTCTTGTACAAGAAGATGATTAGCACTCAGATGTTTTGCTTTATAATATGCATTATAATGTACAGTATATGCATGGTGAGATACATTTGGGAATCTAATGTTGTCATTTATATAATGTAAATGATTTTTCTGTCATACTATAAGTCCTGTACAATTTATATTTCAGGAATATGCCAATAAACTGGATCATGAAGCCAGTAAAGGTAGCCCCTTACATGAGAATGTGCAGAATCTGGCTGCTGAAGTGAGAGAAAAGGGACACAAGTTTTCATGGAAGTTCATACAAGGTTTGGATGGTGGAAGCGCATCTAAGAAGGCCAGAAAACTTCTGTGTTCAGCAGCTGGCCTGGGAATGTCTCTTACCTGCCAGATGTTGGGGCTGGAAGGTGTCTATCTTCATCCTTTACCTGGAGACGAACAACCTGTAGAACTCTCACTTGAGAAGCATCAATATGAGACTCTCTATACTTTACGAAGAGACCTCAACATGTCTTTACTTTCCATAATGAAGGTGGAAGAACTTCCCTCAGAACTCTCTCAAGAAGCAGAAACCTTTGAACTGAAGCAACTTAAACAGTTTATCAGGAGGAGAGTACCTTCATCTGTGAGTTGTCAAAACTTAATCAAGCAGGTTGATGACGCCTACCATAATAAGTTGCCTGAATCCTTAGATAAGATCATTTTGTTGGGAATATGCCGCCATGGTTTAGTTTCTCTCTTTCATAAATTCAGAAATAATGTTCATGAGGTTGATGTTAATACCATTGTTGAGGAACTGACAGGATACACAATGCTGCACATGGCTGCCCTCTATGGTTGCATTGGCTTGGTAGATTACTTGCTCTACAATAAAGCAAATGTGCTTGCAAAAACCAAGGGAGAACTTACTGCACCTCACTTGGCTGCCATCAAAGGCAATAAAGAATGCATGGAGTACTTAATTGGCTTTAAGTCTAGCAAGGGCATAAATATCAACCATCCTACAGGTGAAATACTTGTACCAACACCTGAGCAGTTGGCTGAAGGATACCAGTCTCAGGTTAAGGCCTTTGATCCAGTGCTCTTGCCTGAGGAATATGGACTGGAGGTTCTCAGTGAACTCTGTGATGTTGATAAAGCTAGACTTGTGCTGGAGAAAAAGGGGCTACAATTCAACATAACAAACAGTGATACTTTACTCATGTGTGCTATGGATTGGAGCTCAAGAGAGGTTGGGAAGGAGAAAGTACAGCTGCAAGGCGAGATGGAGCGCTTTTTAGGCGAGGTCAGCAAAACTGATCAGCGATTCAAAGGGACTATTGTTTCTAGGTCTCGAAAAGTTGAACCATTAAATAAACTTCCTGTTGATTCACTGCAGATATATTGGGAAGTTGACGGTCTAGAACCTGGAAAATGTGAGCATGAGTGTGCTGACACATGTACTGTCACTCTTAAATTAATCCCCAAACAGGAAAAGTTAGGAACCTCACAGTTTAAAGCTGACTTTGAAAGGGCAGTAAAACAAACCCTTAAAACATATAAATGTGAGTTACCAACACTGTGGTTAATTTACCCTTTTGTGACAATGATAGAAACTGGGGTGTCAGTGTATTTTGCTTGGTATCAGGAAAAAATAACTACCCTGCTAAGAATAGAATTCATACCTATGATAAAGGTAAAATACCCAGATGATAATCTGGAGAAGTGTCCGTCCTTTGCAAAGGATTGCGTGGACCAGAATGTCCCCGTCCACTTGGCCAATATTAGGGATGACATCTGGACCTACGTTCTTGTACAGATGGAAGACAGCATATTCAGCCGGCTGACACATGAACAACTCCTGGTGTTTAAGGCATGTAAGATGTTGAGGAAGATGTTGTGGTCATGCTGGTGGTTCCCTAATCATCAGAGTCGCCGCCATGGCCGTACCTGGCATGCCTATACTCACCGTCTTCACACACTCTCAAATAACCTCCTCATGTCACTTTTCCTCGAAGAAATAAGAGACTCTAAGGAAGATGACTGGGAACCATCCAGATTCTTAGAGCATGTTATATCCACGTTCAAGAGAGCCACGGAAATTAATGTCCGAGGAGAAAGAGTGCCCAGACAGAACATTCGCTTGGTCTTAGATCCCCAACATACTTCAGAGAGCGCCAACTACGTCACCTTAGCAATCATAAACTATCTAGAGCAACTGAGGGAGAAATGCGATTGATATATGTCAGAACAAGATACAATGTTTCCCTATTCTAACGGTGTTTTAATAGTACGTGTGATGACAGTTTTGTAGGAATATTTGATGAACTTCTACTTGTCTTGTCTGACTCGCTGATTAATGATTCATATTTCAAGTGATGTTACAAATAATGAAGTGGTAGAGACTTGATTATAATAAGGGTAAATAAAAAAAAAATCTTGCATTCAGTGGAAGGCAAGTACAGTACTATACATGGGATCATAAATAGTATTATAATTATTGAAGATATAAGAACTGAGTACTGTACTATAATGATGGCGAGTATAAGAGTGACTAGGTTGATAATGGAATGATTAAAGGAGCTTTGTCTATAATGAAAAACGAAAGTCAGTTTATATGGTAATTGGATATAATTACCAATGAAGAAGACATTTCTCTTGTTGGTTCATTGTTACAGTATATTAATTGTTTTATTGTTTGTCTTGTATTTATGTGATTCATTCATTTGGGAAATAAGATTTATTTCTTAAAAATCAAATAATTGTAGGCAGTTTCTGTTCTGTTGATAATCTGTTGTCAAGATAAACAGCTACGCACGCGATTCTCTTGTCCATTCTAGTTATCCTGTTTTCTATAAAAAAAAAATAAATAAATCCTCCCAGTTAGTTGTGCCTGTACTGTACACTCCCTCACTTGTACAGTGTGGACTTTGGACACTAGATGGCATTCAAGTGTTCTTATCTTGCCTAATATAACAAAGACGATTCAGTGCCAAGAAACAATGTATTAGGTGCTGATAAATGTCCTGGGAATGTTTATATGATTATAATTAACCTCTTATAAGTTAATCTGAAATCCATGTTTGATCATTACCTGTATGAACCGCAACATACGAGCTAAGGAAGGGCGGAGTTACCTGGATGACGTCATGGTCACGTGACCACATCGTACCTGCACGCTATTGTCTACGGCGCTGCTTCAATAAAATTTCTTTTTATTTCTCAACTATTTACGTTTGTAAATAGTTTGAAGAAAGAATAACTGCCAATGTACAGCAAAGATAAGTAATATACAGAAAATTCTTCTTGAACATACAGTATAATATGAATGTGATAAACTTTTGCCATTTGAATGAGGATGTTTACACCTGAGCTGGGAGGAGAGAGTCAGTAGTGGTTGAGACGTGATCATGGCGGGATGCTAACTCTTTCAGCTCCTTGTGAAAATTCGATGTGGCTATTGTGGTGTACTTGTAGCATGGCAGTGACGCGTTGTAGAAGTATGGCAGTAATATGGTGGACAGCCATAGTAATGGTAGTGTTAGCGCCGCCAGTGCTTGGTCTTGGAGGCACCGTCAGCGACAACGTTGTGTACGATGTGTCAGGATCACCCTACGTGGTCACCCAGGACATCCTCATACAACCAGGAGGGAGACTAACCATCGAGCCTGGGGTGACCGTCCAGTTTGACCCGGGTGTGGGCGTCACTGTGAAGGGCGTCCTACACGCTGAGGTAAGGCTGCCCCCACATACTTTTCCCGCGGAGGAATGTATCGGCTTGGGATTTAAACCTGCCGCGAGGAGTACCTTCCAACACCTGCCATTCCTTTCACCACCTCAACCACTGCAAGTTGACTTATAAACAATAGTCCCGTCAAGGGTTGTTATTAGTGTGTTTTATATTGTAATGGAGATGTTTATAATTGTACAGTTCCATAGTTTGTGACTCGGCAAGAAGAAATTTCATGGAGATGAGTTGCTTAAGCAACACTCAGTGGCTTACGTCCTTTCTACATGGATGTTTACATGAAGTGTACCAATTGGTCAATTATATTACAAGTTTTACACTCCTCGTCATGGTCATTTAGATAATACCTTTTCATTTGCTCGTTATATATAGAGTAAACCTGGCCGTACGACTCGCCTTTGTCACAGTAGACAACACGAAGATCTTGTAAAACACGAGGAACAACTTGGTGTGGCAGGAAGCATTGTCTCACCTGTCGTAACCAACACAACCACCTAACGGAAAGCAACAGTTGGTACACATGAACAACGGGCGTGGATGTATGCTAGGCCATGTGTGGGCGTATGCTATGTTATGTGGGTGTATGCTGTGTTATGTGGGCGTGTGCTGTTATGTGTGGACGTGTGCTATGAACGAGGAAGGATTTTGATTTACTATGAGGATACTGTTTATGAATCAAGCTAGAAAGTTTTGTCTGTGACAAGTAATTAAGATATATGTATAGATGTATATTAACGGTAATGTATATCGATGGAAAACAAAAGAGAATGAAATTAAATGAAGAGTTTACAGGAAAGTGTAACAAAAAATGCATGAGTATGAAGGTTAGTTTAGTTTTTACTAGGCAAATGATGCGTGTCTACCTAAGATTGCGTCTGTGGTCTCTAAAATACACTGACCTCAACGGATTAAACCAACAAGAACATTACTTCAGTATTCGTGGTTTAGGTTAGTTTTTGTTTTATTTTGGGTTAGGTTAGGTTGTTTTTATCTTAGGTTAGGTTTGTTTTATAATTTGTACATGTGTTGATTTTGTGCAGAAATGACGACACCTCAGACTTAAATAAGGGGTTCTTCAGTTTTATTCTATGGAATTTTCAAAAACGTTTGTTGGAGCTGACTAGAGTACAGAGCCAAGACTACAGTAGAGTACAGAGCCAAGACTAGAGTACAGAGCCAAGACTAGAGTACAGAGCCAAGACTAGAGTACAGAGGCAAGACTAGAGTACAGAGGCAAGACTAGAGTACAGAGCCAAGACTAGAGTACAAAGCCAAGACTAGAGTACAGAGCCAAGACGAGAGTACAGAGGGTTAACGATCATAATAATATACAGTAACTGTCTTTCATTATACCTGCAACGCCTCTTAAGTAAACAGAAAATAAACTTAACAACAGTAGGTAAGAGGAGAGGATGGTGGGGAAGGAGATAAGAGGGGGGAAAGTCTAAGAAAGGAGGGGGGGGGGAGAAGGAGAGGATGTAGAAGTTAAGATCATAATGTAGGTAGGTATAGATGGAGGGAAGGTTGGAGGGGGAGGGAAAGATAGAGGGAAGGGGGGTGTCAGGGAAGGATGGAGGGAGGGGGGGGGGTGACGGAGCAGATCAATGTGGTGTCATTCACCCCCCACACACACACAGTAGTTTGAGGAGGGGTGGGGGTCCCTCGTATTACTACCATGCACAATACTATAGTCTCCCCTTCCTTGCTTTTGGTCCATATGAACGTTGGTTTAGTCATGTATGTATTTTGTCCAATGGGAAATAAAGTGGTCAGGTGGTATGGTGTTGGGTTTTGGAGGGACAATAGAAATAGTTGTCCAGGTGAGATAGTGAGTCAGTTGCTGCCCTGGGAGGAATGTGTGGGTCGATGAGTGGATATACTGTACCCCTCACCACCCCACTCCTCCCCTACTCCCCTACATAGTCTTGGGAATCGGGAATATCTAACTAGGAATCATGAAATGTGTTGTTAGGTCTGTTTTAATTATGTGTATTATCTGTACGAGTGAATGTTTAATGAGCGGTAAGAAATACTGATATCTGATATATTTAGTGTGATATTACAGTTAACATGTATAATAAATGGCGTTTAAGTCCATGTTTAAAATTCACAACCAAATAAATATGTAAATGTGAAGAAGAACAAAGCTACATTGGGGTAATTACATACTTAGCATTTATATAATTTTAGTTGGATTATTTTCATCAACATTTGCCAAATAATCTTGTATTAAAAGAAAGTTCTCGTCATTTTGATATTATAATGAACTACTGCAGCTCAACACCCAAGGTCTTTTAAAACTCGTACTCATGTGTTGTAGCTCATATGTTCCTCATCTTGCACTGAGAGACGCCAGCAGCACGATGACTGTTGGTGGTGATGTGTAAGAGTGTATCAACTCGGCTACCTTGGGCTAATGTATAAAATTAACATCTTATAATATCGAAATACACTGAGACTCAAATACAATTAATTACGTTTATTAGTAGGCAAATTTACATAGGTATGGGATCTTGTTGTTTTAGCTGTTGTCAACCAAGTATGTATCTTCCTATATAATTTGTTGTGAGGAATATTTGTCGTATAATCCTTGGTGACCAGACTGTCTGGATCATGAGTCTGTACGGAAGTATGCACTGTACTTCCGCCTTGCGTGTTACACTGAACATTAATAATTTATGCAACGCGGGTGTGCGTAGGGCGGGAGGTACAACAAACTTTGATTAGCGTACTGTACACTTCAAGAGTCGTTCGTGTATGTGCGCTCACCGATTAGGCTGTAAACCTGTTTCCGGTACTATGTGTGATGTTTGTATACCTGAACTGTTTATATACATGCTGAATCAATGTGAACTCGTATGAAACCTTATTACACTATAAAATGATTGGGCGTATATACTAGTGACGTCACCATGTTTTTTGATGGGTCAGGCATCAGACGTCAGCCTGTATTATTATAAAGGTCAAGAACACACAGTAAACATGACCCGTGGCCACTACTACACCACCTTCACGTTTAACATTAGGTGAACTCTAAAAGGGGAGAGTTATTTAAAGATTGTGAATCAATGAACTTTTTAACGGGTTTGTAGTGTTGAGCTGTACCAGACAGATTCTTAACCGAATATAGCATCACTTCTATCCCTTCATACTTTACCAGAAAAAAAGGACAAACGATAATGTTTGTATAGCAAGTGGTATATACAGAGAATAACAACAGAATTATGATAAGCGAGTCTGCGTAGCTGTGAAGCTCGTCATCAAATTACGTACCTTAATTATCACAGTACAGCATTTCCTAGCATAGAAAAGCTCATTAAAAAAAACGAAAAAAATGGGATTGTCGTACGGTAATAAACTTAAAAATGTAACGATAAGCTGTGGTTGGCGTGAAGTTCATGGGTGTGGCATCAAACTGTTCCCTAATAACCATCACTTCCGCCTTGGCTATGATTCCAGTAAAGAAAGAGAAAGAGGCAAATAAACAGGTATTGTCCCAGCTAACGCGGTAACGGTACAAAACCATGAGTAGTAATTTTGAGGTCATGCGTCTGGTAGTGCATTAACCAGGCCAGCATGCTGTTACTCTGCCAACAAATACCATGACTTATGTATTCTTAGATTGATGGATGTTTATTCAGTAAAGTCTTCATGCAAGTTTACAATTAGTTTTGCATTTATATATACAAAGCAGGTATACAGTTCAGCATGTATAAACACAATGTAGGTATACAGTTCTGTTTTCAAATAGACAATTAATGCAGGTATTCATTATATCGACAAAGAATTCTGTCTAATAATTTTTCATTGTTGTTGGACTGTTTCTTAGTAACCTTGCTTGGTGCTTAAAGACCTTCGTTGCAACAGTGTATATGGACCGTGCTGGTATACAAACTATGCTAAGGGTTAAGGCCAACTATGCTAAGGGTTAAGGCCAACAAAGCCACTGGATACTTCTTACATTATATACCCATTATATTGTATACAAGTTTTTTTTATTCATATGACATATAAATACGATGTAAGTTGCCTATTTCATTTACATCAGTGTGTGAGGATATGTTCTCTGAAAAATGAGTCGCAAAGTTGCAGGTCGAAGATAACTGGTGCTCCATTTCTTCCCTGTTACGTTCAAGCGCTGTTATAGTTGATACCATCGTTCCGAAGTCATCTCAAATATAATGCAGTTATGGATGCACGTGTCAGTAGTTGTTTAGTGTGTGTGTGTGTGTGTGTGTGTTTTAACCAGTTTCATTCTTCGATCACATTGTATTTCAGGAGAATATATTGTTTTCTCAAGACTAACAACAACTCTTTGGCTTTATGGGTTTAAATAATTATTACGTCTCTTCTCTCAAAGATAGTTAATGCCTTGGTTGCACAGACGCCATTACTCTTTTGGACGTCGAATTTACACAATCCCAAAAGTCTTTACATTTATTAACACAGAGAAAAAAAATATCAACAGAAAGGAGAAAAATAAAAAAAAGCTACGTAGAAACTGAAGTATGACAGCTAATAATAAAGTAATTGATAATGATAACAGGGAGGTGGAGGCGCATTATCACAGGTGGCTGGGCTAGAGGTTGCAGGGCGTGTGTGTGGGTGGGGGGGTTTACGCTCTGAATCATCCAGGGGTAACACTCCTAACACCCAATCGTTCCTCTTTTGTCACTATTTATTTCTACATTTTACACCTGTGAGAGAAAATTACAGGTAGAGAGAATGATAAACAGACGGATAAATGAAATGAGAGTGAAAAGGATGTTGTGGTCGGGATGAGGGAAGTATGGATGGGTTTGTTTATGGTGTAAGTGAGAGATTTGGGTGAGCCGACAGATTATCACCATGACCTGTGTGAACTCCCCCCTCCCCTACTCACTCCACCACCCAACAATAAGCATTACTCGTAGGTTTAATCAGGTCAAGTGTTAGTAATGTGAGGAATCTACACCAATTGTTCCTTAACTGAGGTGACAATTACG